TCCTGTGGCAAGGCGGGACATCGGGCTCCCACATGCCCTCACCCGGACATGATCGCCTACAGACAGAGACATGGAGGAGGATCGGGACCGGGATTTAGAGGTGGTGAAAGGGCCGCTGCCGCTGTATCTTCTTTTGATGCTGCTATGCAATCCATGACCCTCTATCAACGTCAGCACGATCAAGCCTTGAACATCACTGAGAAGGCTTACTCACTTGCGACTAGGAAGATGACAACCCTGATCGATTCAGGTTGTTCAAGACACATGTTCGGGATGAAGAGGTTCTTTGACCTATCCCCAAACTATCAGAGAATGACTGCACCTGTCATGGTTGGAAACGGACAGGTGATCTATGCTGAGGGGATGGGCGACATCTTCTTGACCATTGAGGTTGGAGGAAAGAAAGCAGAGCTACATCTTGCAAACTGCCTGTATGTTCCCAAACTCAGTTCGAACCTGATCTCGATCTCACAGCTGGACAAAGCCGGATCGGACATCATGTTCACGGAAGGCAAGGCGATCTTGAGGAAGAACAACAAGATGACCTTGATCGGCAAGATGTTGGATACCAACCTGTACGAGGTCAATGCAAAGTCTCCGGCATTACCTAAGATGGATTCAGCCAACACGGCATCGATCTCAGGACTGGGGAATATCTGGCATCAACGGCTGGGACATCTGGGTGGGAACTCGATACGGAATCTGAAGGATTCTGTGGATGGGTTCAACCAGATGACCGTTCCACACCAGTGCGAGAGCTGCATCCTGGGAAAGATGACAAGAGCTCGATTCCCGGACAGCTCATCAAGATCAACAGAACCACTCCAGCTGATCACCTTCGATCTTGCTGGGCCTTTCGATGAGGCTATCGGAGGAGCCAAGTACTTCATGATCATGGTCGATGATTACTCCAAGTACTACCACGTCGAACTCCTCAGGACCAAGTCAGAGGCAACCCGATGGTTGAAACAGGTTCTGACTCAATGGGAAAATCAGTTGAGTCGATCAGTCAAGGTTCTTCGGTCCGATGGTGGGGGAGAATTTGATAACAGAGCGATCAGCCAGTTCTGTGAAGAGAAGGGGATCCGAGCTCAGATGACTACAGCTCGAACACCGGAACAGAATGGGGCAGCAGAGAGAGCTGTCCGGACCATCAAAGAGGGTACTCGGACTCTCTTGATCGATTCCGGTCTCAGTAACAAGTACTGGGGTGCTGCTGCAAAGAACTTTGCATACGTCAGGAACCGGACCCGGACCGCAAAGACAGGAGACAAGACACCGATAGAACTCTTCACTGGAAAGAGACCGTCGGTCAGCCATCTGAGGGTGTTTGGATGTGTCGCTTACATGCACATACCAAAAGAAGACCGGGTTGGTCAGATCTGGAAACCCAAGGCAAAGCGGTGCATCTTCCTTGGATACGGAGAGGAAGAGTCAAAGGCCAAGAAAGCTTGGACACTCTTTGATCCCTATGCTCTCAAGAAACATGTGACGGTACATGTCAAATTCTGTGAAGACCAGAGATGGGCCGATCAAAAGACCAACGTTGCAAAAGGAGACATCTTCTTCCAGGACATCTCACCTGCAATCGGGGAAGCCGAACTAACTGTCGGGGAAGAAGTCCAACCGGTTGATCCAGAGATCGGGGAAGCTGAACCGAGGATCAATGAAGCTGAACCAAGGATCAACGAAGCTGAACCGGAGATCCTGGACCCTCGACCGGAGATTGGAGAAGCTCAACCAGAGATTGGGGAAGCTGAGCGAGAGATGGGGGAAGTTGAGCGAGAGATTGGGGAGGCCGAACCTCAAATAGGGGAAGCCCCAGTTCAGCCAGCAGGACCGATATCACTGCCGCCAAGTAGGATTCCGGTCCCAGTGGATCAGCAAAGCACTCGGAAGAAAGGGACTGGTATCTGGAAGAATTATGAGTATGTTCCAGTACCAGCTCAAGGATCGGGGATCCCACAGGTCTTGCCGGATGGTGCAAGACGATCCCGACAAGCTCCAAAGAGATTCCAGGATCATGCGGCCATTGCACACGGACCCAAGCTTGAAGACATAATGGATCAAGCTTTCTTGACATCGGCTGAGATGGATCCTGCCGATCCCATCTATCTGGATGCAAAGCTGGATGAGATGGCATCGATGGCCAAGAACCAGGTCTGGACCCTGGTCCCGAGGCAGACCGGACAACCAAAGCCGATCTCAGTCCGATGGGTCTGTACCATGAAAGACCTACCCGATGGTACTCAAAAGCCAAAGGCCAGACTGGTTGCTCGGGGCTACACCCAGAAAGCTGGGATCGACTATCAGGAGATCTTTGCCCCGGTTGTCAAACTGGAATCCATTCGGTACATCATCGCTCGAGCGTGCCAGAGACAGATGGTTCTGTCACAAGGTGACGTCAAGACCGCCTTCCTCTCCAGCAGCATGGAAGGAGAGACCGTCTACATTGAACAGCCTGAGGGATTCAAGGAACCCGGGAAGGAGGACCATATCTGCCTATTGAACAGAGCGATCTATGGTCTTCATCAATCTCCTCGTCTGTTTTACCGGCACATCAGAAAGATCCTGGGTGGATTTGGGTTCTCATCGATCTCAGCAGATCAGTCGGTGTTTGTCAAGGACACTCCGGAGGGAAAGGTACTACTTGGTCTATATGTGGATGATGCACTGGTAGCCGGAGACACCGACAGCTTGGTCCAGGAAACCAAAGCCTTGCTCAACACCAGGTTTGAGATGAAGTGGACGGATGATCCCAAGGTGTTACTGGGGATCGAGATTGAACAGGACCGGGAGAAGGGAACCATCACCCTATCTCAAAAGAAGTTTGCTCGGGAGATCCTGGAACAGTTCAATATGATTGACTGTCATCCCGTCAAGACTCCAGTGGAAGAGGTCATCAGCGCATTCCTACCTGAAGACCGACCACCACCTGATACCAGGTTTCCTTTCCGGGAGTTCATCGGAAAGGCGAATTATCTAGCTCGGGGGACACGACCGGATCTCTCCTTTGCAATCTCACACCTTGCATCATTCTGTTCGACCTACCAGGAGACACACTGGAAAGCGTGTGAGCGGGTAATGAAGTACCTTCAGGGCACCATCGATGCCAGTCTTGTCTATCACCGAGATGGCAATCAGAAGATTGCTGGGTACTCCGATGCCGAGTATGCCGGAGACAAGGGAGATAGGAAATCTGTCGGGGCATATGTGTTCACATTGGCCAATGGACCGGTATCATGGCAGAGCAAGAAACAGACCACAGTAGCCTGGTCTAGCACGGAGGCCGAATACATCGCTCTTGGATCAGCTGGGAAAGAAGCGGTCTGGCTCTCGATCATGGATCAGGAACTAGGATTTCATGATGGTAAACCGGTCACCATCTTTGAGGACAACCAGCCAGCTATCGCATTGGCTAAGAATCCCACCAACCATGCTCGGACAAAACATATTGATGTTTTGCACCATGCTCTTAGGGGACTGATCGAGGACAAGAAGATCGAGGTCGAATACCTCAACACTAAACAGATGATTGCGGATCTCCTCACCAAGCCAATCACTGGAAAGCAGCTCCAAGTACTTTGCGCTGACATGAATCTGAAGATCAACAGGGCACCTACACCAATGTCGTCCACCTCTGAATAGAGAAGTCCGAGGGGAAGTGTAGAAAGTAGGTGCGCGCGGGCGCGTGTAATCAAGGATTACCGGGATTATTTCCCCAGGATTACTGGGATTATTTCCCCAGGATTACTGGGGACTGCGGTGATGCTTAGTCAGCATCACCCAAGCTGGGACCTCACCCCGGTGATGAAAATCTCGGACAACTAGATCATCAATATACACCACTTGACTGTTAGATCTCAAGCAATATCTTGAGTTCTAACAGGTCAGTACCTTTGTATTGACTGATAGCACATGCCATTGATAAAGCAATATCTTGAGTTCTAACAACTTCCACCATCGCTCCGACAGTGATTATCTTGGTAATCCGTTGCCTCGCTCGGCGTATTCGATCTAACCCCCATTGTTCCATCTGAGCTGTTGAAACTACAAGTGTCATCTTTCCGGCGGCGACTTCTGTCAGGGCGAGCAAGGTTCTCCAGCAAGCCCAACCTCCAGCAGATTCCCCGTACAAGATCATGTCCTTGTTCTGATAACGAGGATCCTCACAAATCCGCAGTATCATCTCGATCGACGTGGATGTGAATCGAGAAGCGGTTGCGTAAGGCGCGAGCGAGTATAAGGGAATAATGCACTGGCTGCGACCGTCGCGGACGAATTCTCTGTAGGCCATTCCCCAGGACAATGGGTGGACTTGCGTAGTGTATGCATCGAGTGTCAGCTTCCATACTATCGAATTTCGCTGGGATACTCCATACTCGTCTGACTTACACCGATGTAAAGCCCACCTCCATGAAAAAAGATGACTACCTGATCCGAAGCAGAAGTTTCACGCGGACTTAGATGCCAAACATTCCAGAGTGATCCCGGTCGGTCCACTCCGACCTCATCCTTGGTTAGAACGAGGTCACTGGTCCTCACGAGGCTTGCTGGAGGCTGTTGATCGAGGTACTTTTCTTTTCGATCTCGTAGTTCGTGGAGTAGACCCTGACTGCTCTGACGCCGCACGGGAGTTCCGATGACCCAAACGATGAAGTTGAACAATCGACTTTTCCAGTGTAGCGACGGTGTGTTAGGAGTCTGCATGAGATCTGATCGTCACAGTGGTGATCCTAGCGAGATGCTCATATCAGGACACGCTACAGGCGGATTCAACAGTACAGTCGACGTCTCAGATTCTCTTATATGAAACCCCGGACGGGGATTCCCGGCTATTCGGCTTACGTAACGCGATAAGCGGGGCGCGGGCTTTGTGGCTGACGATCGATCGAATAGCCGGTTACCGATACGATTGCTTGTGTCCTGACCTTGATTGCTATCATCTGGACGAAGTTCGAGGCTTCCTCGGCTGTCAGAATACGGTGACACCTCAGACCTGGCACACAACTAGCTACCCAATAGCCTGAGAAGATCAGAATGCCGGCTGTGCAACATGCACCGAGACGAGCCATGCGTCGACCCCGAAAGGCGTAAGTAGCCCGAATGAACGCCAAAGACAGTCTCGTTCGATCTCACGACTTGATTTCGGTCATCGACCAGTTGTGTCGAGTGTAGGCGAATGAAGGTATACCTCTTGACCCGTTGAAAGACCTACTTTGTAAACCTAGCCAATATCAACCTTTCCCCCCCCCCTTCTCAGATCAGATGTCTCGCGGTTACGGATGACGGCCCAGCCGGCTCCATCTGTCAACGCTGTGAGGCATTCGGGACTACATGCGAATACGTTGCAAGGAAACGAAGAGAAGGCAGACATCAGAGATCGCCTGAGTGAGTGCTCGATCGGTAGAAAATCTCATTCTAGCTGTACCGCCCTGACGCGCCGTTGCCGCATACCAGATACCGCGCTCCCATGCAACTAGGCGATCAAGTTCATCTATCGCGAGCCGCTACGAAAGACCTGAGTGAACAACCTGAAGATCGATACATGACAGATCGTACCACATCAGAATCCTGGGATGGTGGACTTCACGTAGACGATGGAGGTCAAGAGCCGATCGAGGTAGACTTGGGGGCATCTACCAGAAAGCCAAATTGGGAGCTCGGTATGGCAATCGTACCGTACCTCGATAGATCGCCAGATTCTGGTAGCTGACAGCAGTCCATCTCTCTCCTGTTCAACATTTTGGGGATTCGGGAATCATCGATTTTCACAACAGGAGGTTCCGATATGCCTACCTTTCCTGCGACGACGTCCCATAGTTTCGACCCCTCTCAGTGGGGCTCAACAGCGTGGCGAATACCTGACTATCCTCCTACCAGGAGTTCTCGGGTGAAAGATCATACCTCCAGTACAGTAGCAGCAAGAGGACGAGGCAGTTCTATGACTGCCGAGCTTGTGGACCGCATCGCGCCCCACACGACATCCGCACGCGGCCAATACCAACAATCCAGTCCGAGCCAACAGACCATACCGATGCCCGATTCTGGACAGATCCTGCCGAGTCCAGACTTTCCCTACCCAACCGGCAGCAGGCCTCTGTCCCACGACCTCGTTTCGCGGCTCAATCCTATCTCGCCGCAACCAGATTCCTCGACATCGTTTAAGGATCTCGGAGGCGGTCGTACCGATTCTAAGATCGCGGATGACGCAATCTATCTTGGTCTGGTCAGTCTTGCAGAAGCAGAATTTCTGTTCCGAAAGTCAGTCGGTACTGTCTACCTTCTAGCTTGTCTGGCTAGTCGTAGAAGTCGCTTTTATGCTGAACGTTTCCTTGAAAGTTTCATGGAAAAGCTTAGTCCCTTGATCGGCCTCTTTGACCCAGACTGTAAGTGTCAGTCGATCTGGGTATCTAGCTCGATCGGACGGCTATACTAATAATGCTTCCTCTGCTTGTAGACTACACGTTCAACCACGTACGGAATCGGTCATCGGCCTTGCTGTCCGCCATATGTTACGCTAGCTCCAAGTTCTTCCTCAAGCCCCTGACAGACAAGCTTTGGACTCACTGCCGGCGAGTGCTCGGCCGAGCCGTAGTCGACAGCGAGTGTACGCTCGAGCTGGTACAGATGATCTGTGTCTTGGTATTCTGGAAGAAACCGACAGACCGAAACGCATGGCTTGACGTCGGTATCGCCGTCCGAATGGCTCAACGATTGAATCTGAAGCAGAGCTCAAGGCAAGCGGGCCGAGACCCTGAGGACTTTCCCGATGACATGTCGCAGTTACAGGAGAGGTTTGTGAGTGTGGTCAGGGCTGCACTGCTCCTACAGCAACTTTCCGCCTCGGATAACTGATCAAATTTTGCGGAATTTGCGGGCACTCCACTTAGAATCGCGAAAGGTCATGGTACTGTCAGTAGAGAAAGATCAATCGATCAAATCGCATGCCTGACCGACGCGATTCTTGCATAGGTATTTTTTGTGAGTTTGACCGAGGAGATCCTTCGGAACGACACGCTGACAGGGTCGCACATTGCCCTCGCGCTGTTAGGTTTCGATAGAACGTAAATAACATCAGATTTCGTCCCCAGTCGAAGCATTCGCTGACATTTCAACACTGTCAATATTGCAGTTGGAGGTCAGTTCCGTCTGAAAAACAGTCCATGGCAAAGCCCGGACGCAGAAAGCTAACACTCAAGCGCTTCTGTAGTGAGCTCCTGTTTGGCTTTCCAGGTATGCTACATCTAGACGAGACAGAGGAAATCGAAACGTGGGCTATCAATACGGCTCGATACGGTTCCAGGGGCGACTTTCAGTTGGCATGCAGTGCGGCGTCAGTCGCCTATTAGACTGAACTCCAAAAATCGCTGGTTCGCTGATCCCATTGCGTGTAGGTTCCGTTCGGCGTTCAAGACGATACACATCGCTCAGTCAATCTTGAACGGGAATGACGGCCCGCGCAGATCCATTGCTGGCGTCTCGATCCAGATGGCGGAACAGGACATCCAATCACATCGAAAACGTTGGCTGTCTTCCGGGCCATCCAGTCTCCTCTCTTGTCTTACTCCTGCTACCGTCGAGATCTGTGATACGATATCAGCTTGCCTCTGGTGCGATATCAAAGTGACACGGTACAATATGTGTCACGAAGGAGGAGCTCGAATGGATGTATTACTGGCGTTTCAAGCGTTGGTCGACAAAGCGGCGGTCCTTGCGAAATCGGAGCATCTTCTATACTGGTCGGACGGATTGTCCACGATGCTTACTCACCAAGGTGTCAGTGTATATAAGGTAAAGTCGATCAGCTGTGGACTCTCGTCGGCTACGGCGGCATACTAGGTACCACCGGCTCACTCCATTCGTCCATGCTATACCCTTCCCTCTACTTAGATGTTCAAGGATGGAACGGCAGAGGAGAAGAAACTGATACAGGCATCATTCGCCACGACTCATCGATTCTGCCATGAATTGGCTGTAGACCATCCGGAATCGCCCTGCTTCCATATAGCAAAGTGTTTCGGTTATCTTACGGGATTTCTTGACAAGACCCTCGGCGATCACTTGGAGGGTACAAATCCCTTGGAATCCGCGATAATGGCCAGTGCCTTCGTGAGTAGTCGGAATCGATAGAGTGTCCTACGCACGGCTGAAATGACGGCCTCAACAGGATGATCTGGGCTGGCTGTCAAGCGACTTGGTCTTCTGGCAGAACGCTTTGGACGCGGGGCTTTTGTAAACGAATCCAGAGGGAAGACGAAACACTGGAACAGATTGATTCTGCAGCCGTGCTATAGAGACGTATCCTCTATCGTTGCTGTGGGTCACGGTCCAATGTGGATGCTATGAACGCCAAGGTTCCGCGGCGCGACCTGTATGCGTTCTTTCGCGAAAATATAATCGCGACATGAAAAACGTAGACCAAGAAGTACGTCACATCAAGATCCTTTCTATGGTACGCCAGACTTTTTTAGACTCGGGCAGAAAGTCTAGCCCTTGGAACACGTGGAAAAGCCCAGGAAACTGTTTCGAGCGTTCTATTGAGCTTTGAGGGTTCTCCTAGGCCTGAAGCCGACGGACTTACTGAATGAAATTCGGTCTCGATTATAGACGGTCCCAGAGCCAGTAATCGCTCGTGCAACCTGACATTGCCTGGGTGCAAAACGTCGTGGGTACCGCAAAAGTGAACGATCGTAGCTGGGGACGAGGCGATATCCGCTTGCATGTATCGAGCTAGCGAATCTATTCCGGCTAGAGGTGAGTGCGCAGGGTGATTGAGAGGATGCAAATCGTATGTCTGGGCCTCCTGCATGGTTGTTGGTATGCCGAAGTCGCGGTCTGGATATGCTTTCACTCCGTATGCCCATAACTTCGCGACCACGCGAAGCATAGATATACGTAAGGCAGGGTCCTGGTTTCATCGAGAACGTTATTCAGAAGAACTCAAACTCGTCAATGTTCTCCGACACAGACTCACGTCCGTTTCGATCCGTCGATCTTCATCGGGAGGATCGCTCTCTGTCATGGCCGAGAACAAGATGACGGTGGTCACAAGGCTTCGCAGCGACCGAATCGCATCAAGCGAGTATCTTTCCAACAACTCGGCTTGTCCAGCGTAGTCAAAGTCGCCTCCGGGACAAGCCATGTTCGTCAGAGTAACGAACAATTGCAGGCTGAGAAAACCGCCGGCAGAATCTCCCACAAGCACGATCTCCCTGTCCTTGTATCTCTTCTCGAGCCTCAACTGCATCAACAAGTCGATCGCAGCCACGATGAATTGGCGACCGGTGGCTCGTGGAGCGAGTGTGTAGATGGGTAGTATTACTTGTCGAATCCTATTGTTCTCCCGCACGTCTATTGTTCTCCCAGAACAATAGACCGCATGGAACAATAAAGCACATTCACTCTTCGCACCTTTCCTTTTGTTCTCGCTTAGCAATCTGCGACTCGCTTAGCAATCTGCGATCACTGTCGCAAGTTGCGACCACAACCGCAAGTTGCGACCGCAAACCGCAACTTGCGACCGCAAACCGCAGACCGCAAACCGCAAACCGCAGCACCTTGCCACCTACCAGAATAATATATATAGCAGACCATTCTGGTCTGATTTCATGATCCCCTCTTGTATATTTTATCCTCATGCAAACTATACAACGGTGATCAACTCGATATCCAACAGATTAAGAGTCGGCTGCTCTACCAACGGAGCTCAACGGGCCATTACCTTAGTTTACATCAACCAACCCTCTTCAACATCGACTGAGTTTCATCATGGCCGACAGTCTCGACCTCGACACTCTCAAGGTTACCAAGCGTACCTACCTTGAGGGTCCCGACAATTACGCGGAATGGTCCCGCTCGATTCAAAACACTTTGATCGATAAGGATCTGGACGACATTGTTGATGGAACTATCCCTCGACCTAATACCCTACCTATCACTACCTTGGCTGCCACCGCCGGCACGGACAACGCTCCAACCACTACCTCTACTACGGTAACTACTCCAGCTACAGCCGAGGAACTTGCGAAATGGATCAAGAAAGACAAGAAGGCCTTCGGAATCATTGACGGAAGCCTCAGTCAGCTTGTCCATCACAACCTCCCGTCTCACCTCTCAACCTGGCACGCTCTGGTCCAAAGGGACTCCGCTCACACCGATGAGTACAGAGCAACGCTTCCTTCTGCTTCTGCAAGATTACTTAAACATCTTCAGGAAACCTACTCGGCCGCAAGGGGATCCAGGCGGGCTGAACTTCTCGCGATCATCTGGCGATCCCAACTCGCGGAAGGAGAAGATCCGACTGTCCATACCGGAAAGCTCAAGTCGGCTTACTCCGCTATCACCGTCTCTGGCCGATCCCGGATGGACGACAAGGACTTTGCCTTTGCCATCCTCATGTCCCTTCCTTCCTCCTACGAAACCCTCGTTCAGACCTATTATCTCAAGGAGGACTTTCACTCGCAGGACGTCATTGACGCCGTCCGAGCCGAGTACAGGAGGAGGATTGTTCAGGAAGAAGGAATTGAGACTACGGCTCTCATCGCTGCCCGTCAACAAGCACGGAACAACAACAACAACAACATCGGCGGCACCGGAAACAAGAAGAAGTTCATTCCTCGATCTCCCTTTGACGAGAATGCCTTCTGCGAGTTCCATCAGAAGAATGGACACTCAACAGCAAACTGTTTCACCAAGCCCGCCAACTTCAGTACCGGCAACAACGCCAACAGGTACACAAACAACAGTGCCAACATCGCCGCACTCGTAAGCAACAGGAGTCAACATCATGGCATCAACGCCGGCTCTGCTTTCATGGCAAGCATCACCATCGATCACAATGCCCTTCTGGCCCACTCGTCTGCACTCGACATCGTCGTAGACTCTGGAGCTACTCATCACATGGTCCACGACAGGAACCTGCTCACTGGAATCAAACAACTACCGATCCAGGCAAACATTACCATAGGCAACGGCGCCAACATCACCGCCAGAGAATGCGGTCAACTCAAACTACCAAACATCACACTACACGATGTTCTTCACGTACCCGAACTGGGACGGAACCCTCTGAGTGTTGGTGCCGCACAGAGCACCGACGGACACTCTTGGACCTTTGCAAAAGACGAAGCAATCCTCAACACTACTGAAGATGGACCCAGCAAGCCGGTCATCACAGCAACACGACAAGACGGTTTGTTTGTCCTCGATCCGGCAAGCACTCCTATTCGACACAAGGCCGCACTCATCACGGCCACCAATACCGTCACAGAGGACAACATCCTTTACCACTGGCACCGCAGACTTGGCCACCTCAATGTTCGCTCGGTGGTTCAGCTTGGCAAAGAAGGAAGACTCGACAAGACAGTGGACTGGGCCAAAGCCGGAAAAGACATCTACGGTTTCCAATGCTCAGCCTGCATTCAGGGCAAAGGATCTCGTCTTCCCGCTCCTGCTTCGAACATCCGGGCCAGCAAACCACTCCAGTCTATCCACGTCGATCTCTGGGGACCAGCTCGAACCCCTTCCATCGGAGGATCCCTCTACTTCCTTACCTGTTACGACGATCACACTCGGAAGGTCAACCTCAGCTTTCTCAAGAGGAAGTCTGAGACCCGGCAGGCATTAATCAACTATATCAACCTAGTTGAGAATCAACTGGACTGCACGGTCAAGACCATCCGATCGGATCAAGGAGGAGAATTTGAGTCACATGCTCTCCGTGACTACCTCAAAGCGAAGGGCATCGAGCATCACTTTGTTCCAACTGCCGCTCATGCTCAGAATGGTAGAGTCGAAAGGGCGCACCTTACCATTCTCAATCAGGTAAGGACGCTGCTGATCGATAGCGGACTCGATGACAAGTTCTGGGCGGAAGCGGCAAACTACGCCATCTACACCAGGAACCGGACTCCCACAGGATCTGACAAGCACATCCCGGAGGATCTCTGGAGGCAACGTGAAGTCAACTCGCGGCACCTTCAACCCTTTGGCTGTCAGCTCTGGTTCCGTGACCACAACAACACCAACAAACTCCACCCTCGCTACAAAGAAGGGCAACTACTCTCTTACGTCGAGGGGACCGACAACTACAGGATCTGGGACCTACACACCAAAAAGGTCACCATCTCTCGTGACGTGGTCTTTGGTAAACAACCAAAGATTTCCACCAACACCAAATCACTGGAAACCAAAATCCAGTCCACTCAGGTCGACATCGACATAGTCCCTGAATCAACATCAGACTCAGACTCTGAAACTGAAGAGGAACAATCGACTGAAGACAACATCGATACTCTCAACCTGCCTGATCAGCCCGGTGATGACACGACCATCCCAAGCGATCAGGCTACACAGGCTACACAGGTTAAACACAAGTCATCCGGCATTCGGAGCAAAGGATGGGACATAGCACCGGTACCGGAACTGGAAAATCCAGTCTTACCTGATGGCTCCCGACGAGTCCGCAAACCACCTGCCAAATTTGGATACTCTGCAAACCTCGCTACCGCCGTCATCTGTGGCCATGCACTCATCTCCACGGCCATCCCTCAAACTTTTCAGGAAGCCCACCGATCTCCAGAATGGGACAGATGGCAGGAGGCTATCAAAGCCGAACTCGACAAGATGGATCAGTACAAGGTCTGGTCTGTTATCGATAGGCAAGAAGCTACATCGAAACCTCTTCGAGCCAAATGGGTCTTCACCCGGAAGATTGACGGAGAGACTGGGAAGCCATCCGCCTACAAGGCTCGATGGGTAGCGAAAGGATTTCTGCAGAAGGAAGGAGTTGACTACAATGAACTCTACGCGGGAGTTGCTCACAAGGATACCATCCGAGTCTTCCTTGCTCTGGTCAACTACCTCGACATGGACTGCGATCAGGTCGACATCAAGGCCGCCTTCCTCAATGGAGAACTAGAGGAACTCGTCCATCTCGAACCACCTGAAGGCAGCAACATCCCTGCCAACAAGGTTCTCCGGCTTCAGAAATCACTTTACGGTCTCAAACAATCACCTCGCTGCTTCAACCAGGCTCTCGACAAGTTCCTTCGATCTCTCGGTCTCATTCCTTCTCCGGCCGACTCCTGTCTCTACATCCGATCAACCAAGGATACCCTTCTCATCCTCTCTGTCCATGTTGATGATCAACTCATTGCCTGCAACAATCGCCAAGAACTGGACGACTTCAAGACCAAACTCAACGACCGATTTGAGTGCTCCGACGGAGGAGCGGTCTCTTACTTTCTTGGGTTCAACGTCTTCCGAGACAGGCCCAACCGGAAACTCTACATCTCTCAAGAACACTACGTACAGGCGGTCTTGGAAAGGTTTGGCATGCTCGACTCCAAACCGGCAAAGACTCCCCTTCCTTCCGGCTTCCGATCTCTTCCCGCTACCGATGCTGAACATCAGGAAGCCGCTCATGAAGAATATCCAGCAATGGTCGGATCAATCATGTACGCGGCCACCATCACCAGACCCGACATTGCTCATGCTGCTGGAGTCTTAGCTCGGACCGTCAGCAAGTGGAACAAGCAACATGTCCATGCAGCTCGACACCTGCTCCGATACCTCCAAGGCACCATCGAGCTCTGCCTTACCTACGACGCCACCTCTGGCCAAAGGATCATCCTGGGCTATGCCGATGCCGACTGGGGTGGATGCTTGGACACTCGCCGATCTACTACCGGATACCTCTTCCGTGCTTTTGGAGGACCGGTAGCCTGGAAATCCCGACGGCAACCAACTACAGCTCTCTCAACCGCTGAAGCCGAATACATGGCTTCTGCTGATGCTACCCGACAGGCAGTCTGGCTCCGCACTCTTCTCGAATCTCTCGGTCACCCGGTCTCTGGTCCCCTCGCCATTCTCAATGACAACAATGCCGCCATTCAACTCTCCAAGAATCCTGTCGCTCATGATCGCACCAAACACATCGACATGAGACACCACTATCTTAGAGAGAAGGTACTCAACAACACCGTTGAACTCTCCCATGTTCCAACTCAGGACAACCTTGCCGATGCTCTCACCAAAGGTCTCACCCATCACCAATTTCATCACCTTGTCACCGGGATGGGTCTCAGGGGAAAACCAACCTCTTTCGCAAAGGTCGCTTGAGTGAGGGGGAGTGTCGAATCCTATTGTTCTCCCGCACGTCTATTGTTCTCCCAGAACAATAGACCGCATGGAACAATAAAGCACATTCACTCTTCGCACCTTTCCTTTTGTTCTCGCTTAGCAATCTGCGACTCGCTTAGCAATCTGCGATCACTGTCGCAAGTTGCGACCACAACCGCAAGTTGCGACCGCAAACCGCAACTTGCGACCGCAAACCGCAGACCGCAAACCGCAAACCGCAGCACCTTGCCACCTACCAGAATAATATATATAGCAGACCATTCTGGTCTGATTTCATGATCCCCTCTTGTATATTTTATCCTCATGCAAACTATACAACGGTGATCAACTCGATATCCAACATTACTGGGATGTGAAAATCATTGGCCAACTTGCGGAGGGCGACATGGTGCAATCTATCCACCTAGAAGCGAGAAGATAGGGACAACAAAGCTAACTCAGATCGATCCCCGACGCAAGCGAACGCGATGGACACGACATACGTTGTTGATGAAACCTCCCCCATGCCAGAAAACGATGGCCTTGTCTTCTCGAGCATGAGTCTCCGGTTCCACATGGAAAATTTGCCACTCCTGGTTACCCTGTAGTTGTCGGGTCTCTTGAGTAGACCTGATGGTGGAGGGCAGAACGATAGGCGCAGAGTTCTTCTCCAGTTTCTGGATAACATCACGCACAACCTCGTCATCTGTCGCCTTGCGAATGTTGCGGGCAAAGGCCCAGATCGCGCTCTCGACCAAACGAGCCGCGACGGATGGCATTATTGCGAGTATCCCTTGCTGTTGGAACGCTGGCAGTGTACTTTGCTGCTATAACCATTCAAGCCGTTGGCTCGCATATACCTATAGCAGATCATGGGGACAAGAGAGTCTGTTCGGACCATTTGGAATAGGCGCCTGCAATTGTCATAGCCGGCTGGAGCTAGGAGTTTCGGATCTAGGCTATTCGGCTGTTCAGAACGAGGCGAGGCATACTGCACGGGATCGAAACGGGGCAATTCGGCTAATCGTCCCCCGTCGACGGCGCAAAAAAGCCTCCGTTTCAGGTCGATTCCTGCTGCAGTTTGAGAGTCTGCCGGCGCGATGTGAACCGCTGCATAGTTGTCTACATATACAGCGTTAGAATTGGTGATCGCTACAGCCGCATTCTGGGCCCCACAATCAAAGCAAACTCTCGCCTCAGGTGCGTTTCACAAACATAGTTATAGCGATCAACCATGAGTTCTAGACGGTTCGGCAAAGCATCCGCGTTCAAGGATCACATAACTAAACCTCTGCTGGCGATCGTCCTCTTCACTGGGTTCGCGGGTCTGCAAGTAGGATACGATACTAGTGAGACTGAATGCGTTGTGATATATCTGAATCGAAACTAAATCAGTCGCGTGTAGGTTGGTGGAGTGCCATCATTGCGCTGCCGCAGTTCGCAGGGCTCTTTGGTGGAGGCAAACTCAGCACCCCTATTGGCACTTTTCGCGTCATCAGTACGACTGAACAGTCTATTAGTACCGCATTTCCTTATGTTTTTCAACTTGTGAGTCCGAACCGATGCTCTTCAGATCCCTCACCTCCTAAATGTTTCGCCTGAGTCGGTTTATCAGATTGGCGGTGTTTGCGGCGGACAAATCTCTCACAAGTACGGGCGTATCGCGCCTCTGTATATCGTAAGATGTGAAAAGTCGGGGTCATTCCATTTTAAATCACCTCATCGAAATGTATTTGATCATTCGACAGATTGCTGCGGGCTTCATCGGCGCCACGGTGATTCAGATGACCAGCAGCATTAACGGATACCGTTTCTGGCAAATAGTCGCAGGGTGAGTCGTCCTGACGCCTGCAGCCCAAGAGAATCACTCAGGAATTTTGGGTTTATTTTTCAATAGCAAATTAGTCGTGGCAACAGCGGCCGGCGCAGGTTTGGTGTCGGTGCCCCTGTACATCGCCGAAATCGCTCCGGTTCAGGTACGAGGTGCTTTAGTCGGCATTGTTGCTTGGGCGGTGGTTTTAGGGAACCTGCTCTCTGCTTGCGTCATGTACGGAGTGAGCGACAAGATTGGTCAGATAGTCTGGTTACTCCCGGTGAGCTACGAGGCGGGTTAATACCTTTGATACCTGCATTCTAATGCTGGACGAGTGTGGTTCCAGATGGGGCTGCAACTTCCGGTGCCCATACTCATCCTTGTGTTTGCAAGATGGCTCCCTGAATCGCCTCGATGGTCAGTTCGGGCTCTCTCCGCACAGAAATCGGGCTGAGCTTATTTTCGACCGGTTCCCTTAGGCTTCTAGATCAAGATAGACCTGATGAAGCTTTGGTGTGCCTCGCACGGGTCCGAACGAGGAGTTCTCGAGCGGCAATTAAAGCCGAGTTTGGAACCATGCGCACAACCGTGGCGGAGGAAGCAGCCAAGGCCAAAGGCACCTGGACAGATCTCTTTAGGGGTCCTAATCGACTAAGAACGCATATTGCGACCGGAGTATCCAGCTTTGGTCCCGCTCAAGGCTTCAGCTTCATCACGGGCTATCTGGTACTCTTCTTCGTCCAATTGGGTTTCGAGAATCCCTTGCTCTTGAACGTCTATGTCAGCTTGGTTGTCGTGGGCATCGTGATGATATCGTCCTTCGCGCAAGACTTTATCGGACGAAGAACCCTACTCCTTGGGTCCACAGTGGCCATGGGCGCCGCCATGTTCTCGCTCGCGGCCGTAACTACAAAGACCCCTGTTCCAAGTGGATCCGCGGCCGATGGCTGCCTATTCACGAGTGAGTCGACAACGTTGCTGTACAGTGGTGTCCGTGACTGACTGTACCGTGTGACGACCAGTCTTCCTCTGGGTCGTCGGCTACACATTGGCATGGGCGAGTGGACCCGTCATCGTCGGCACCGAGGTCCCGGCTCAGAATGTGCGCGACAAAACGTATGCGGCTTCGATCTTCTGCACTTCTGTGAGTTCTTGCTGCATCGGGAAGCAATAATATCAACTGTCAACGATAGACTGGAGTCGATGCTGATCGTCAGCGCTTTATTTCGCAGGCGGTGCAAGCCATCAGCGCTGGAGTCAACGCTCCTCTACAAAAGAAGTTGGGAGGCCAGATTGGCTTCATCTGTAAGTCACGACTCATACCGCTTGCCATCAGGTCGAAACCTAACCAGCAGAGCGTAGACGGTGCATTCTCTGCAATTGCACTCGTTTGGCTGTACTTGTGAGTTCAGGGCAGATTCGGTACAATTATCGCCTGAAGGGTCATGAAAGACTCACCATCTCCTAACGCATAGCCTTCTGCCGGATCTCAAGAACAAGAGCATGGACCAGATCGATTGGCTGTTCGACCAGAAGATCCCTTTGCGCAAGATGGGTTCCACGCAAGTGCCCGAAATCTTGCAGAGGGGCCAGGCTCAACGCTCGGTTGACCTCTCGGGTGAAGAGACAGGGAAGAACGGAGGCTCCGTCGAACACTTTGAAAAGTTGTAAAGCGCGGGTAGACGAAGAATCGGGGGTGGGAGTTCCATCGAGCTCTGAGCGACAAATTGGCCAGGGAAGACGCTGGACCGTGGGCGTCAATTTGTATCTCTGGAGAAGCGGATATTTGGCGGCGAACAGCACATATTATTGGCACAAAGACCAGACGGATTCAATTGAAAAGCCCGAAGCAACCTGTTGACCAAAGTTGCTTGGCTGAATCTGAACCGGTGGTTCCACTCTGAGCATTCAGTAAATTTCCCATGATTATTGCTTGATGTGGGATTCGGCCTCTAACCTTATCAACCGAGGAGAACAGTCAAACTCTCGGGAGCATAAGATAGAATGGTGACGGGGCCAAAGCTTATTCAAGACGCACCGGTCCCTTACGGACACAGGTGCTACATATTGCTAACGACCGTGAGAGTAGATCGATGAGCATGCAAGTAGATCTATTAGTTGATCATCAGCTCGCACAATGGCAACCTGGTTGCACCTCTTCATCTACCTAAGCTCTATCTTCTGACCTTGATTGGCCTATGGCAAGTCTGAATTCGAGCTGGATCTTAGGTCAGAGCACCTTTTCCGCCTTGCTGACCTTGGCGGGCCCAGAGCTTTACCGAAATCAAACCACTTCTTCCAATCCGTGTTTCGTCTCGCAGCCTCGACTGCCGCCCCCCTAGACAGCGACTACTCCCGAGATAATTGTGACCCAGCCCGCTTCTCGACCTGGACCTCGACGCGACCAAACCCCCTCAGGCTGATAAGATTGACCGTCATCCAGCCTTGCAGTAACCCGCATGACCACGGAATGCGAAACGACCCGAGAACCAGCTTCTCCATTCTCGGAAAAACGATCCCGGGAACTTTCCTGCATCCGGGACCGGGGTGCAGATGGCGACGAGACGGATTCGGAAAGCCTCAATCGATCGGCCGATACGTAGATGATCACCAGTCCAGAGGCGAAAAGACGGTACGGAAACCACCTCGGGCCAAACCGAGGTATAATATAATGTATATTCCAGTGCATCCCAACCCGATCTTATCCGTCTCAAAACCCTCGTCTTTCGTGATCGTACCCCAAGTCCGGTCGGTTTCATGTTGCCCGTGACAGTCGAATTGGTATCAAGCTTGCACCTTGAAAAGGCTGCAAAGCAGCTTGGGGTATCTTCGAAATTCCGTAGGGGTTCATAAGCCGTCGAGGTTGATTCGATCGAGATGAAGATTGGAAGTAGAGCAAGGGAAGGTATGAGGTATCTATTTCTTTCCCGACCTGTTGTAACGAGACCAATTAGATCGGCGATCAGCTTCCACTCGGCCCAACTCTGAACTCGATTGCGGCCAGCTAAACCCCATCCCGCAATCCCTTCACCCTGCTGTGCATCGTCCACAAGCATCTCTCCTGCACAAGGAACGAACGACGACTCACTTCTTGATCCCACCCCCAGCCAACGGTCCCTTCTTGCCGGCGTTGGCAGCAGCAGCCTTCAACTCGGCCTGTTCCTTCTTCTGACGCTCCTTGAAGGCCTTGTCGTCGTCGTCGAGCTCGACCTTTTCCTTCTTGGCCGCCTTGAGGGGTTTGAGCTGTGGGTCAAAAGTCGGGATTGAGAGGCGAGCAGTCGAGCTTAGTATAAGGTGACGGCGGTTGGTGGTCTGTGGGGTGCATGGGCTTACCTTTCCGCCTGTGAAACAGGATCATACGAGTTGGATGACGAGATTCATCGTATCAGCAATCATCTTGACGCAGTTCCAACTGACGATAACAGACTAACCTTGACGTCCGGACATGATGAAGAGATAGGGATGTGGATATGATCGAGGTGGTTTCCTCTTCGTAGCAATGAGGATCGGTCTTTGAACTGTTGTTGTAAGCGAAATTGTTGTAGGTCGGGTTCAACCCCGAGGTTGTTTATTCGGGGTCAAGCCGGAAAAATGACACGTCATACCATCAGCCTCTATTATCAAATTGATCCTCGCCCCTCGGAACATGCTCGATTCACGAGTTTCGTCATCGGTCGCGAGAGGGAGGGAGGAGCTGGGGAGCTGGGGAGGAGAGAAAGAAATCGTTCAAGTCGAACGGAACACTTCTTCTTCATACCTCATTGCATCGACAATCAACTCAACAACTACCATCTTTACCACTACCACTACATACCTACTACCGAATACCACAAAATGGTGAGCAACCTCCGACCACCTCGTTGCAAAAATCCCGCCAAGTACTGACATTCCCTTCCATCACCGATCTCCCGCCACCTAGTCTGACGACTGGGACAAGCAGACCGTTCTCCGTGGAGGCCAAAAGCGAGTAGCGACCGTTACCAAGTCTGAGAGCGCCGTGAACAATGCCAGACGGATGGGGATCGCCGTGTCGACCGAGAGCAAGGGACCGGCAGGATCGAACAGTCGGGGAGGACGTGAGTCATGGGTCGTGTGACGATCGATGTCATGGTTCCCCTTTGATCCGTTTGGCTAACTTGTCGGCGTTACATCTTTTGTGTGTCTTGTTGTCGACCTGCAGCCACCGACTACCAGCGAATCGCCAAGCTAGACATGGAGAACGAGGTCAAGCCGCCCTCGACCGTCTCTCCCTCGGTAGGTGCCGCCATCGCCAAGGGACGTCAGGACAAGAAGGACGCCGAGGGGAAGAGCATGAGTCAGAAGGATTTGGCCACCAAGATCAACGAGAAGCCCAGTGTGGTGAGTGGACGCTCTCCTCTACCCTGCCGACTCTCGGTCGTGCTTCTTCGAGCGTTTCTTGCCGTCGAGCTGGAGCTGACCACTCATACGCCCTCTCTTCTGCTGTTCTCCCAACCTTGCTCTCCATCCACTAGATCGCCGACTACGAAGCCGGTCGAGCCATCCCCAATGTCGCCCTCCTGGCCAAGATCGAACGTGCCATCGGTGTCAAGCTGCGTGGGGATCCCAAGCTGATCGGGACCCCGTTGCCTGGGCCCGGTAGCAAGAAGAAGTAGAAAAGCTCCTCTGCACGAAAGAGTGGGAAAATGGGGAATTGAGACATCAGCAGTAATACCGAAGAATCGGATCAGAGTAATCAAATGAATACGATGCATGCATGTTCCATCTGAGAGGGTTTGAGAAACTCAACTGATATGGCTGCGTGATGGAGGTGGTCGAGCAACATAAAGAACGCAGAACATTGCCCAATAAAACATCAACGACAAAGCGACCTAGAGGAGAGTGTAGTGAATATGAATCGAGTTCGAGGCTTGTGAAATGCTCATCACTGTGATAGGGGTGTAGGGATTGTGAGCAGCGGGACGAGCACGGCAGGGGGGGTACCGCTCGCCTTCAAATCAGTGACACCACAAGTAGGGCGGGTGAGTTGCCATGTCTGGGAGCTGTAGAGCCAAGGCGGCCACGTCAAATGCTCAAGGTTTTGGCCAACTGGTAACGGGAGCAAGTCAAGCGTTCTCTCTATATGAGAAACTAAGTTTATATCTAAATGGTCAAACCTTAACTGGTACAGCGGTCGCATACCTATCAATCGAAACTTGAAACTCGTCTCACTCCTTCTCGCCCTCCTCACCCTGGGCCTTGCCCATTCCCTTCAACCCACTATCAGCCACCTCGAACTGCCACCCTTTCCCCTGCGTCCACTGATCCGCTCCGGGTAAAGTCGGATTCTCCAACTGTTGCTTCGGCAAATAGGTCGCTCGATGTGCTCGGGCGTGGGCGGTATCGACGCCGTACATCCTACGAAAGAAGAAGGTCAAACTTGAGTGCTTGTTCATGTCTGGCGAGAACCAGCAGGGGGAGGAAGACTCACTCGTCCCGCTCCTTGACCATGTCTTGTGGGACCTGCCCGTCGTTGGTGTACGACATCATCAACTGTGGCGGACCCATGGGAAAATCCGGGTACTTGTCGTATTGCCCTACAAAGCGCCCGTATTACGTTTCCGTACGCAAACATCAAGTACGGTTCGTAGCAGAGACGAGGAGGGACAGCGAGGGCAATACTGTTTATCAGCGATGCCCTTTCTTTCCCTTACCTGCGGATCTTGACCTGACTTACAGGTATGAACCGTCTTGCCATACGTATCGTGCAACTCGGTCATGGCCGGAATCTCTGCTTGATCCATAACCATGTCTGCTCGCACGACGCAATGTCAGCGCCGATATCTTGTCTTCCCCATTCTTCGTTTCAACCCTGCGACTCCCGAATTCCAACCACTATCGAACCACAAGCACTCACTAGGAACCAAAGCTTTCCCGAGCAACATCAATAAACCGGATTCCACCTCATACTTGTGGGAATGCCAATATTTCTTCTCTTCCTCGGGACTGATACGCGGTATAGGTAAATGGGACAATGAAGTAAAGGGATAGATAAGAGACGAGAGGAAAGTAAGCATCCTCCTTGAAGCGACCAGCGACTTCCCCAGGACGGATTTAGAACCAAAACTCGACTCACAGCGCCTTGAAGACCTCGGCCGGAACGACATACTCGATCCCGATCAACCTCGCTCCGGGTCCGTTCGAATCATAGATGATACACTGGTGCATATTGATCTCCTTTTTCGTATCCGGGGTGAGGTGCAGGTGTGAGCAGAGGTGGTGCGCTTTTACATGACGGGTCGGTTCGTCGCTGTTGTCAGATGGTTTAGTCGGTGGGTCATGAGGTGGATGAGGAGAAGATGTGGGAGGTCAGGATCGAGTCAGTCAAGCAGATAGACGGGAAAGGCAAATATTCTGGCTTAGATTGAGATCTACTCACGCATAGCAATGGAAAGCGCATAGATGCTGTCTGATCCCTTGCAGCGGTCCGAAGCTGTTTAGATGCCGACCCAAACCGGATCACAGATCAGCCACAACTCGGCGAGTCCGCCTAGCCCCACTCGCCCTCGAACAAGAACCTAAGAAAGTAACGAGATGCAAATAGCCTACCTCATCAAGGCCGCCCCGGTAGCTTGGTAAGGCTCTGATCGGTAAGTCTGTTTGAGACCGTCCTCGTGTTCCGAGGAGACTTGTTGGACGGGGTTGGACATATCTCGTTATTGAATTATCGATATGGTGAGATATGCCCGGGGGGAAACTGATGGTACTGGAGGGAAGATATCGGTAGGTGTCTCCAGTGAGTTGTGTGAGCTGTGACTAGCGATACCAGAGCATTTCGACGTCGATCTCTGCTGAATTGCTGATTGCTGACGACAAGCTACTTGAACATTCAGTCATTTACATCCGTGTTTTGCCTCCGAAGGGATTTGCTGACGTCAACCCGACACTAGATTGGGTACCGAGATAGGCGAGCCGGAATTGAGTGTTCGATTGACAGGCTACAGCTACGAAATCCATCATGATAAACACGATACCACTCCATCTACTACCCGACACTTGTTGTCTGATATCGCTTGAAGTGTTTGGAATGATGTCTATGAGAGAATCAAGGGCACGTTATCCTATAGCCCCACCAATCACGTGATCTGCTGAAGCGGACATCGCAACTCGATTCTTCATGTCCGCGCATGATCCCCACCCAGGATGGTCCCAAGTAGAACAAGGTTCAACTTTCGAATGACTTCAGGTTGGGAAACGGTATCATGGTCAACTTTTACAACATAGTATATAGTATGCAATCGAGCCTGACAGGACGTACAGAAAAACCTACCGCATAACCATATACTATCGCTACTACTTGCTAGTCAAAGGGAACAATGTCGGTGACGAGTGACGATGAGGATAACTTGATGGGTGACATGTTCCCCGTGAGTCGAGGCTCGGAACCCAGGTCCTGTATTCCCTCCTGCTTCCTTCTTCCTCTCTGATACACCGATTGACAATCACCTTGTTTCTCTTACCTGTCGCGAAACTCTCATTATCAACTACACTCATGCGCAATGATGACTACGAAACAGGAACCACCCCGACCCGCAACCCCACCTCCGACCATAAAGACCTACACCTTCCCCTCCTCGACCGCCCAACTTGCACCACTCACCGTCTCCCTCATCGGAAGCCACCACTCACTCTGGGGTCACATCCTCTTCGAATCATCCCTCGTCATGTCCAACCACCTCTTCCACAACCAGTCCCGCCTGGTCTCGGGGAAGAACGTCGTCGAATTCGGAGCAGGTGCCGGAGTACCGGGTTTAGCAGCGGGGGTATTAGGTGCTAGAAAGGTCGTCTTGACAGACTATCCGAGCGTGGAGTTGTTGAAGAATCTGGAAGAGAATGTCAGGGAGAACAGTGCGGTACATAAAGGGCTGGATGGGAGGGTGGTCGTCGAGGGACACGTCTGGGGCAGGGATTGCGCGCCGGTCTTGAAACATCTGCAAGTGGAAGAGAAATCCGAGTCGGACACCGCAACAAGTACAACAACATCATCTTCAACAATACCAGACCCGGATCTATCACGGGCATCCTCATCATCATTGGCACCCAACACTCTGCCAGACCCGTCCAAATTCCAAACCCTGCTCCTCTCCGACCTGATCTTCAACCACTCTCAACACCTCGCCCTCCTCCGCTCGCTCGAACGCCTTATCGACCCGGCTTGCGGGACAGCCCTCGTCTTCCACTCACACCACCTACCTCAACATCGGGCTCGTGATCTCAAATTCTTCGAGCTGGCTGAAAAGAGGGGATGGACAGTAGAAAAAGTGGTAGAGGAGGTGAGAGGGGTGCAGTTTGTGGACGATGGAGGGGATGTAGGGCTGAGGGAACGGGTCTGGGGGAGGGAAATGAGGTGGGATGGGGTTGTCAGGGAGGAGGAGAGCGATAGCGAGAGCGAGGCTGCGGACAAGAAATGAGGACTGGGTCGGTTCGATCCGAGACCATCGAACATAGGAATGCCGCTTGGCTTACCGTAATGCCATGACAAGCTGGATTATATAATACAAGGTATAAGACATGATAAGCATCTAGCTCTAGCGCAAGTGCAGGACAAGCTCAGGGAGACCACGTTCCCCCCGGATCTGATACGGTAAGACGATGTTGATATGATACACTCTGACTCGTCGAGTCCTGGGGACCTCTAGCGCAGCTTGGCCCGTTTCCATTCGGCATAAACCGCCTCGTCAGTAGGTCCAACGAACCTGTTACAACCCGACCACGACCAGCGGGTGACAAGTTAGCACGCGCCCAACCGATCGATCAAAGGCGAGTGGGGCGAGGTTGGACTCACGAGCGGACCATCTTGTTGAAACTCGTCCCGCTCGTCTTGATCGATACCGGGTCGAGCTTTTCCAGATACTTCATCGCCAGCGATTCCCAGGCATGGTACCTACAGGTCCCCAGTGATGCGTCCCGTCATCAGCTTCTCTGATCTTTTCCCGCCCTTAATGGCAGCCTGCGCTGAACCTCAACACCTACGCATACTGCCCGGACTTGTGGAAATCGTAATCATCCGTCTCGTGCACCATCTGGACTTCCTCACCCCACCAACCGGGCCAGAAGAACGCTCTCGTATCCAGTACGTTTAGCTCGTTGGGGTATCTCCGTGCAATCTCCTGTGAGCGCGATCGGGTCCGGACGACGATTGTCGGTATCAGCATCGGGCAGCGACGTGTTCGCAATAGCAGTGCGTATACCCCGACTCACCCAAGGTCGAGCGACCGAGTGTTGAGCCCACTCGTCTGGCCGGAAATCTTCGTAGCTCGACCTCCAACGTTCCAAGAACGAAGCGTGCGGTTCGGCGACGATGATTCCGTTCTGCGGTGCCACCGCGCCAGGGAATTTGCATCGCAAGGGTAATGGGTCAGCGCAATGTTCGATCGATGGATTTCGCAATCAGGCGGGCTGGACATACGCATAATCCCTCGGGATCCAACTTTTGTCTCCTGCTATCCGTCGCAGCCTCCATCCCGAGCGTGACCGGGTATCCCAGGAATTCGTCAAACGGTCGAATACTGACGGAGCGGACGGGCGGCCGTCAGCTTGACTCGGGTCGACTCGGTGCGTGATTAATAGAAGGAAACAGAATAAGCAACAGAGGTAGTAACCCAGAACTCACACGTAGGTATCGATGTCCAGGTAGATCCCGCCCATATGCAGTAAGGCGTCCAGCCTGATGATCTGCACCCAGACAGACAGTCGTAAAAGCAAGATCCGCCACAAGTTAGCATTCCTGCTCGTCCCGATATGTCTCAAGAAGCTCCTATGAAATGTTGAACTGAGCCGTGCTCAGTACTCACATCGGACCGATGGGCGAAATGCCTCAACTCGTTTCCGAATATCTTTGTAGGTACCCTCGCCGGTACCAGAGTAAGGTGCGGACGGAGGAGGTCGAACCACGGTCCGGTGGGGGTGTTAAAGTGGTGACTAGCAGATATGTACATCGATGGAATTTAATATCAGTGACATTCAGTGCACGATATCCTGATCTCCATTAATCTCCCTAGAAATGCATCCTCGGTCTGGGTCTCTCGCCCGCCCCTCGACCCGCTACCTCTGTAACACCTCCTGGGCTCAACTCTTCCTCGTCCCTTAACCATCCGTAGCCCAAACTCCGAAACGCAGTACCGACTCCAGCGACTCACAAATAAATCGCGTCCGGCTTCAGATTCACGATCACGCTCCTCACCGCCAAATAAGCGTAATAAGGGAACTCTTCCCCCTCCTCCCCCTGTCCCATCTCAAAGTACCCTTCTTCATCCACCCGGATCCCCCCCGGTTGTGACTTTTGGCGAGGGGTCGGTTTGAGGGAATAGACGTAGTGCACGATGTTGGGTACTCTCTGATTGGGATTTCGATTTCGATTCTGATGTATTATTGTGGAAGAGTCGGGAAAGGAAGAAGGGGGGTATGGTACGGGAGGGACGAAGAGGGAAGGAGGAACTGTGAATTTCGTTATCGGGCCTGGTAGTCGGGATGATGGCGAGGCTGTTATTCGGCCGAGGTAGTAGGATGTTAGGAGGAGGGCTGCGAGGAGGAGATGGGTAGGTGTTAGGCGGGATGGGACGGTCTGAGAGTGATCAGAATTGGAGATGAGAATTGTGATTGGCGTCAGTCCAGTCAGATTTGAGGATGAAATACCAAGACAGTCTGCCATGAGTTTCGATTCCATGATGAGCTACAGCCATAAAGAGCCGCTCAAACTCACCCTCAAGACATCCCTCCACCCGCGTTTCCCCGTCGAATTCAAGTCCATCCAATCGTCCTTCTCCCTCCCACCGCCTCCCGCTTGTCCTTTAGCCCTGTCAGTCCACCCTCTGAACCCAAACGAGATCGACCTCGACCGGGGTTCTTCGGTAAACGCGATCTCGTTGGACTTGTCGATGAGGATCCGGTGGTGAGGTGTCGGGTGCGGGAGTTGGGTCGTCAGGGATGCCGAGTCTTTTCGGGGTTTCATTATCGGTTGCTACTTGGTAGCTAGAATTAGTATGAAGTAGCTGATAGGAGATGCAGCTTGGTGATGTCAGTCAATAGTTATAGGGGGATTGCGCATTCCCTACTTAGCTACTTAGCTACTTGCTACTTGTTACTTGGACATTCCTGCCTGCGGCTCGACCGAGGTTACTTTCCGACGGGGTGCGTGTACGTAAGGATATTACGTCACTGCCCCTCTCTTACGTACACCCATTCCCTCGATCGTAGGCGATCTCCGAACCTCCACCTCCATCTTTGTAGCTTTCAATCTCATCGTTCCCATACCCAGGCAGAGTGGCGACATGTCGTTCGCACGATCGACCCATCATACCCACAACCGCATACCAGCACCAAGACCGGTAGCACCTCATACCTCCGCATAGTCCTACTGTGCAAGAATTCGCAAACTGCAAGGAAAATAGCGCCCCGGGGAGACCAGGATCGGGATTACGAGTCGTGCAAGATGATGCGGGAGGACGAACTGGTCATCCTGGAGGTGAGCATCTAGAGCTGAGCTGAACTTGTTCTGTTTGTTGATAAACTGGTAAGGAGACTGATCATCCACTTGATTTACTTGTGTGTGCTTGTGGACGCTCTCGTAGTCCATCTATCCATCGAGCATCACCCTGGACCCAAAAGAAGATGGAGTAACGGAATTGCAGATCGTCCTCGAGATCAACCTCGCAGGACCTATCCGATTCGACATTATCCCCCTTGATCCGTCCTCTTCAGCTTCTTCCTCGTCTTCTCGCCCGACATCAAAAGCTATCACGTCTACTATAACGACAACGACATCGACGCTCCCACCGATAAAGGTCCATATGAGGCTACCGGCTGGTTACCCGATTTATGAGCCTCCGGAGGTAATAGGGATATCAGATGGGGATGAGGGTGATTCGGAGCGGTCGGAGGTTGAAGCGATAGACTCGTTGTCGACCTCGACATCCATGACGAAACCCCCAACGATAACTACAACGCTGCCATATACCGCCAGCAGTCACAATGCGACAAATTCCGACAAACATACAGGTTCACTTACAGACCGGAATGGCACCGGTCATACACATCGAGATATCCCTCCACCTGAAAAATCGACATATCTACCCTCCCGAACCCTAGATCATCTGCGCCAGCGACTACACGATCTCTGGGTCGAATCCGGCGGCGAGATCGGTGCTGAGGGTAACGGCGGGCCGGTACTCTGGGACTGGTTAGACTGGGTCGGGTGTGGGGAGGGGGTCTTGGAGAGCTTGGAGCGGATGGTTGAGGGCGATGGGTATATGTGAGTCAGGTCACAAGCCTGCTTGTTCTAGTTGAAGTTTGAGGGGGGACGAATTGCTGATCGAGTTTCGTTTGAATGTTCTCTGATGGGATATGGGGTTGTGTTTTCCCAAATCATGGCCGTTGTCATTGAAATACCGTTCTTGTCCTACTATCACATCCATCTCTTTCCCTTCCAACCACCTTTTCACCATTATCATATCAACCTCTTTCTCCTGCGCAGCCTCCCCGCTCAGCCTAACCTCGACCTCGCTCGAAAGATTGCCGCCCACAACCGATCTCTTCGGAAAAAGGAATTTGACGCTCAGACTTGGGATTGCGGGATCTGTTTGGATGCCAAGAAGGGGAGGTTTTGTGTGAGATTTGATGGCGAGCAAGAAGGAGAGGGCGAGGGGGAGGGATGTGGGTGTGTTTTGTGAGTCATCCTGGTGGTGAAGGGCGGTTGAGAGTATAACCATTTTGTGATAAGTGAGAGGCTAATCGTGGAGTCTTCGTCTTCCTTCGGAATTACCTACTATGAAACACTGTTGATGCACGAATGCGCCCTACCCCTTCCTTTGAAACGCCCATCTTCACGTCATATGTAGCTGCAAAGAATGCCTTTCGGCCTGCTGGACGTTGGCGATCAAGGAGGGCAACGTCGAATCCGTCGCCTGCCCCTCGGTGACCTGCACGAAACGACGGGTGGATAGGCAGAACCGGGTACGGGAGCCTGCTCTGGGCGGGGGCAAGCTCGAGGGGACGGATACAGGAGCGGAAGCGAAGGACAGAGCGGGGCAGGGATCGGCGGGAGGGGAGGTAGAGCTGAGACTGGTAGAAGAGGTTGTAGGGGTGGAGCTGAGGGAGAGGTTGGAATGGCTGAAACGGAAGAAACGGGTCGAGAACGGTAAGCGCTTACCGCCTTTTACCAGAAATAATCAGGCTGACCCGAAACCGTGCCACTTTTTTCGACAGACCCGACGTATACGACATGTCCGTTGCAACACTGTCAATCGCCCGTTCCGCCTCCTCCACTACCGAAAACGTCCACGACGATGACGAACGCGCCGGCGAGAAACGTCTTTCGGATAGGTACCGCGGTGGTCTTGACAGACGAGCAGGTCGAGGAGAACAGGAAAAAGGAAGAGGACAAGTGGGAACGATATAGACAGTGCCCAGGGTGCAGGTTCTCGTTTTGTCGGTACTGCTTGACGACCTGGTGAGTCGCAAGGTATCAGATTAGCTTTTGTGATCGAGGAGCTGACATGCAGCTGCTCGGGGATCATAGGCACGGCCCCCACCTCCCTTGTCCCTTGCCGTCCACTTCAAACTTCCTCAAAGCGTACCTCGCGCTTGCAACCGATTCTCCAGATCGCAAGATCTACCACCGACGGTACGGAAAGAAGAACCTTGACCGGTTACAAGCCGAGTATGAGGAGAACGAGGCCAACAAGAAGTGGTTTGAGGGGAACACGAGAGAGTGTTGTGGGTGTGGTACGAGGGTTCAGAAGAGTCAGGGGTGTAATCACATGATTTGTGAGTCGGTCCAGGCTGGTGGCGACGGAACCTTGCGCAGACATCTGACAATGTCACTTAATAGGCTCAAAGTGCAATGCGCACTTTTGCTATCGATGCGGACAGAGCGTGAGTCCAACTTGCTTGTCCACTGTGTTCAATCTCTCTGATGACCCATGCTACCACATCCCACAGCTGCGACCGTCCGACCCGTATATGCACTTTCGGACGCCAGGCTCTTGTTGCTTTGAAAAGCTGTTTGATGCCGACGAGATTGCGCGCTTTGAGCGCGAGGTCGGGGGACTGCAAGATGAGGTGGGGTGGGATGATCTGGCTGGGGGTGGAATCGGCGGATGGTGGTGACCCAAGCCCTGTTTGTAGACAAGATGGACGCTATGAAAGGCGAGCGTTTTGGACGTTTCAGGTTTGGGACCACATGTTTCTGCTTACCTAATCACGTAAATGTCCCGAGCGAGCGAGATATTGAGCGATCGCCCATCGCCATGTTGAAACATGCGATACATGCTATGCATGCATGCATGTCTCTCCCACTAGCTGAATGTCGCACTCGAATGCGGAAGGATTGACAAGAAGTGCAGTGATAGACTTGCCAGCACGCACGCCTGATCGTCCCACCGCCTGCAACCATTCGCTCGTGTGTCGAAGTGAACAAGGGACGCTATCGCTGGTAATATGTCGTATCTACCGCACCATCAGGGGATGTACGAGTATCAGCAGGGCCATAGTGCGTAACGTGTCATGTATTTTCAACTGAAAGTACAGGAAATTCAACCTTTTTCTTCCCTCACTCGCAGTGGCCATGCAGATGCACATGGACGACGATGATACAGACGACTCGGACGATGACGAGCCCATGAACCACGCAGCTTCTCCTGGCATATTCTCGACACATGCTAGCCCTTACGCCTATGCTTCTCCGGCAGCTGCTCCTTCGCCAGAAGATGTGAAACCTAGCACCTCTCAACTCGGAGTCATGTCCCCATCTGCACCTGCCTACGGGGAACGTCTGCCTTGGATGACAGACGATCAGGGGTCGGTACCGCCTTCCGCTGCTCCTTCACCTTACGACCAGAAGCCAAGAAGAGATGATTCAGAAGACGACGAAGGCGAAGATGGCATGGATATCGAGCCTCAGCTTACGGGTACCCGAGCTGGATCAGATACCGGATCCGAGCAGGAGCAAAAGGTCGAACTGACGTTCGAGGAGAAGATGCAACTGAGGTTCCCGGCCTTCGACAAGAAGAAGCCGTTGAAGTTCACCGAGCTCCAGGCAATCGATCCGATCAGGGAGAGCAAGAAGAGGCGGCTTGAGGATCACGGCAGTGAGTACTGTAACAATTGACCAGTCCCGAGCCTGCTCCTGACGGTACCCCCTGGATCTCTCTCGGTCAGTCTCCTCCATCGAAGCGGAACATCCACATCCTTCACAAGAATCCAGCTTCTTGCGTCCTCTACCCGTAGTAGAGTCTCTCAATCAACGACGAGTCCATGCTTGGACAGCACCGTTGCTAAGACGGGGAAGAAAGAGGTCGGACGGGCATACTCCTGCAGGGACGGTCACTCAGAATAGGATGCATCGGCTGATCAAGCAGGTGTGTCGTGTTGTTGTTGAAGGTGCAGGATCGCTGCCGAGAGCTCACACAAGGGAGCTGAATCTCTATCGCAGTTCGATCCGGCGTCATTCCGAGAGCCTTCATCTGCGGATCAAGACCTCGTGCGGAAACAGAAAGATGCTTCGATGCTCGAGCTCTCGAGTTGGGAGGACCAAATCGTCTGGGGCGTCGAGTGAGCTACATGTCGTACATTGTCAAGGGTACGGACGCTTTTCGCTGACGTTACGACAACACTGTCGCTGTGTTTGAGCCTAAAGTAATCCGCCAGTGGAGATGGACACGCCTGGTATTGCTATTTCCAAGCTGCCGAAAGAGAGCAAGGGAATTCAGAGCCTGAATATGCAGTTGCGAGGGGATGAATGGTTGGACCGGATCGCTCTGAGCGTGCCGCTAGAGGGATCAGACGAGAACGACCTGGAGGCTGCTTGTGAGTTCCGCTGCTAGCCGAGGATCTTGCAATAGTCGGCGCTGACGACTTTGTTTTGCATTACTACCAGCCGATGAGCTCGATGTCCCTGTGGAGACCGTCGCTTCGGAACCAACCCGGGTTGCAAAGGCGCTGGAGATCATTCGGGCTCCTCGGGTCGACAACAACGGTCTGGCGCTTGACTTTTACAACTGGTCGAACGATCACTACTATCCGCCACAAAAGGCTCAGAAGGTTACGATCCGTCAAACCGGGCTGATCGAAATCATACACGCTGGACCGGCAGTCAAATTGCAATTGCCGTTCGTGAGTGCATGTTCCGGCACGAAGCGGTCTCGCGCAGTGCTGATCCTACCACGATGCTGCAGTACAAACCGACCCTTACAACGGCCGAGAAGCGGACACGAAATCGACCGATGTTACAGTTCCCCACCGGGGTACCTATACACTTTGACAAGCTCTTGCCATCGACTAATAGGACCAAGCAGCAAAGGGAAGCGATCAAGGCCATGGAGAGGCAAGGGAAAAAGGTGGAACCCGAGATCCCTCAGAGCTCGAAAGATCTGTCGATGGCGAATCGAGTGCCTTATGTGCTGCTGGAATACTCGGTGAGTACAGTCCGCCCGTATATTACAGGGGCAGTACGGAATCGCTTAGCCAAAACGATATCCTGTTCGAAATTCAGGAAGAGACGCCCTTGGCGCTACCCGGCTATGGCATGGGCTCGAGCATGATCAACTATTACAAGAAGACCTTTGCCGATGATAGCGATTATCCTCAGGTAAGCTGACAGGTGCGACCCGCATAACGCTTAAAGGTCTGAGCCCAGGCTGCGCTATCAGTTCAAGACGGGACAACCGGTCATTCTACAACCAAATGATCCGCAGCCGTACCCTTTGGCATTCATCGATCCGGGCCAATCCACGCGGTCACTGCAGACGACATTTAGTAATGCGCCAATATTCGAGCATCAACCTTCCCCAAGCGATTACCTCGTGATAAGGTAGGATTGAGAAGAGGAAAGCATGTCAATCGTCCGAGACTAAAATTTGTTCATTCGCAGACGCACTGTCGATGGACAATCCCGCTACTACATCCGAGAGATCAACAATATTTTCGTCGTGGGACAGACCTTACCGGCCGTCTCGCAGACAAAGCAATACCTCATGGACATGCCAACATCCCAAGCTGCGAGCCGTCGAGCGACGCGATGGATTAGGATCGTGATCAAGAAATTGCTCGCCAAACACGGCAACATTGTCAAACAATCCCAATTGCGTCCGTTCTGGCCCGAATGGTCTGATCGAGATTGGACCCTGTTCTTGAAGGTCAGTCACGGTTTTGCGCCCATTCGAATGACCGACTGCTAATTTTGGGCCCTGCATCTAGACTTTCATGTTCTCCGAATCCAAAAAGCACGAAAAATACTGGAGGCCCATGATTGATGAGAACGGGGTCAACAAGACGGAACTCGAGCTCGAAAAGGTTGACATGAGCCCCGAAGAGCTCGTTTTGCACGCCGCAATGGGTCAAGCGGAACAGTGGCTAATAGACCGAGGGCATCCATTGCCTGCCAACGCCAAGGACGAAAAGGTCCTCATCAAGGACATGAACGATAGCCGGGACCTCGTCGGGGACGAACGGGACAGGTATATCGAGACGAGGTTGGCTCCGTGGTATCGATCGCAGAACTATGCATCCGCTGCTCAGACAAGTCTTGCGAGCGGTACGGGGTCGAATGCGCTGGCCAACGTGTTGCAGCTCAAGGACGAGGGTGATCCTACCGGTCGAGGCGAAGGTTTCAGTCTGCTCGAGTGTTCGCGAAAGCAGATGCCCGAGAGTGAGTCGGTCGGGTATGTCGAGCCAGGTCCTTGGAAGGAGATTATTGACTCTCCCTTACAGTGTTCAAGCGTACGATGCAAAAGAACAAGCGACGAGGAGAAGACGAGACCAAGCAGAACAGCAAGGTGCATCGGGATGAACTCGTCAAGGCGTACACGCTTCAGCAGCAAAAGATCTGGGAGACGCAGAGGCGGTCGCTCACGTCGTCGATCCCGCCCAAGCCAGACAGACCAGACGACAAGCGGTCTATCCAACGCCAGAAGATCGAAAGGCAAGAGGAAGAGAGACAGCGGAGGATTCGGCAGCGTTACGAGGAAGAGCAGAGGGACTTTCAGATCGGCTCGGATCGAAAGCTTCGGATCACTCGGCAGGTGAGGCGAGCCAATTTTCCCGTCGCATGACAAAAATATCTGACGCAACCATATCGCATAGAGGAAAGACGGGACGTTTGAGCAGGAAGAGATCACCGACCCGGTCATCATCACCGCTTACCTTCAAGCGAAATTGACCGAATCGATCAAGAAGGACGGGTTCAGCGAAGGAGGGTTGTACAACGGTCTCAACAGATTTGAAGGCAAGGTTGCCAATCTCAAGAACTTTCGGATCAAGTTGTGAGTCGCGCGAGAGAGCAAGCGCCTTGCGTCGTATCGAAACTTATTGCTGCCCTGACTCGCCAGGCTTGAGGAGAACAAGCACGAGCTGCAGAAACTCAAGACGGGCAAGACGGATGCCCCAGCCAAGCGAACGATCAAGTGCAAACAGTGCGGCGAGATTGGTCACAATTCAATGTCGGATATTTGTCCCAAGAATCAAGACAATCCCGAGTTCCTGGCCAAGAAGGAAGCCAGCAAAGCGAGCAAGAGGGGCAAGAGGGTGTATGTGCCCGAGGGAAAGAAGGAATTCAAGCAGGATGACGTGCGCATGGCCAAGAAGGATGGGGAGAGTAGTGCAGGAGCGACGGCGCCCCCGATGGGAGGGACGGCGGGGTTCAAGGTCAAGCTCAGCCTGGGCAATAATGTTGGGTCATGAGGCGTTGTTATCCTATCGTTGTATACAGGACGTTGCGCTCGCTGACACGATGACTTTGCGGGGATGTGGATCGATCATTTGAGAACGATACTGTCAAGCTTTTCGAGGGTGCTAGCTTTGAAATCTCGGTAACGGTTCTGTAGAAGGGATACTTTTATCGACCTGGTTACAGGCGAAACCGAACCACCTATCGTTTGCTTTATCAGCGCCCGTTCCGCCGTTCTTTTCCTGCTGTTCGTCTCCCTCGGGCTCGCTGTTACAGCTCAAAGGCTACGAAAGACAGATCAAGGAAAAATGGTTCTTGGTATAGAAGGGGGATTATTATTCGGGACTAAGTTGTCTGCCAGTTTGAGTAAATTTGACCATGTACACACTTTGTCAAGCGGCAAAATCAGTAATGAAGGGGTGTATCTGTTGGCTCATGACCTTTTTGACAGTCATGTCTGTTAGCGAGTCAACTCGATCATAGCAGTACACAATACGGTGTGACGATTGAGCTAAACACGGACAGCAGACTGTATGGGCCGTAGCCAACCATGGGCGGAGCGAATGAACCACCCTCTTCAGGGGGCGAGTACAGAGCCATTGCACCGAACCTGTCAGAATCGGGTGTCACGCTTCATCCCATTAGTGCTTCACTTTCTGCTCGGCGGTGGGAGCCGGGTTGTATCCACATGTTTTTGGTTGTGTCGACTGTGCCGCTGCGGCTTACTGCATTCTGGCGATCGTTTCCACCCCTCTTCTCTTGTTCCTGCCTACTCTTTCCTGTAAAACAGCGAGTCTGAAAGTCGCCATCATCCGGGTGGAATGCTGAGCGACGCATGGGTCTTGCAAGGGCCAGAGACTGCATCGGTAGAACCGATGAAAATGGTTCGGGTACTATCGATCATACATCCGATGTCAAGGTCAGAAATTGTAGAAAGTCGGCTGCCTTGCGTCTGTTCTGCGGACACAGGAACCCAATGGTATCAGTGGTGCTCGGGTAGATCATTAAGATATCGGCCGAGAACAGATGTTGACTTCTCCGATTGATTGTTTTCTTCGGCCCGCGGGCCTTCTACTAGAATCAACGGTTTCCGACGGAATGATAGAGTTCCCCGATATGAGGGTTGTCGCACCCTGATATACTAAACAGATACCTGCCTGGTGGCGAACCGAGTGATGGTTTGCAATCACTTGTGCGATGTTTCACCACATTGGCCGAGGCGAGCACGCAAGGCGCGACGAGATGAGGTTGGCATGCACCTTTCTGGAAACATTTCCCATGCTCAAGAAGGAGCTCGGACCTGCGCCCAGCATATATCCTCACCCTCTTGCCTTGCGACACCGACGGTAGCTTCCGCTGTGAAAAGATCCACGTCAACACGCGAACAGTGCACAGTAGCGGGGGGTCAATATTGTCGGCGATATTGGTATCCCGGAGCAGCCATATAAATAGCGCTTGGACATCTCTGCAAAAGAATGCTCGAACCTGATCCTCATCGTAGCTTGTTCAGGTCGTCGTGCTCCCTGCACGCAAGGGGCTTGCGCTTGGTGGACAGCGCGCACGCACAAGGGAGGAGAAAGAAGACAGAACGATGTCACATCACAGAAGTGTATACCTAGCCTCCCATGACGCACTAGTCTCCCTTGAGCTTGGAGCCAGCCTCCTGGGTGACCTCGCGGTGTCCCCTTGGGGTGGCCAGCTACGAGCGAGCGCGAAGACGAAGCACTCAACGATAACCATCGCGTCGGAAGGGCGAAAACAGCCAAAAAAGATAAACCAGGCCTGGGGCTCGAACCCAGAATCTCGACCTATTGCCTATTGCATAGGAAAGTCACGCCTTACCATTGGGCCAACCCGGCTGATTGTTGTTCAGCTCCTCACATTCACACCACGTCAACCGAGCTCCCTAGACCACCCTCACAAAGGTGCCCAAATTAAAGGCGGACGTCCCGCCTTCCATTGGGCCAACCCGGCTGATTGTTGTTCAGCTCCTCACACTCACACCAAGTCGACCAAGCTTCCTAGACCACCCTCACAAAGGTGCCCAAATTAAAGGCGGACGTCCCGCCTACCATTGGGCCAACCCGGCTGATTGTTGTTCAGCTCCTCACACTCACACCACGTCGACCAAGCTTCCTAGACCACCCTCACAAAGGTGTCAAAATTTTGTGCGGCTGCGCCGCGCTCTTTCTCTTTTCTACCTCGTCTTTACACCAGTAGCAAAGTCTATGTGTTAGGTCTGTGCGAGTACAGTTATGACGCGTCAATGCATGTCCATGTCAATGTGGTGGCATACGTTAGCAAAGAAGGTTGCTGGCCTGGCCCCGCTGCGAGATGGCCCGTCCAACTCTGCATCGTTCAAAACGGTCATGGATCCCGTGATACCTTTCTGTCTCTCACTCAAATGTTCAAGCGAACATGCGGCGGGTACGTGCATCTTTCCCGACTAGCCAGCAGGAATAGGTTAGGCCACTGATCGCGCTTGGTCATTCGCATTCGTCACGTCTAGCCACAACGTCTCCCAGCCGCGACAGGCGACATGCAGCTGGCTGGGCTAGCTTTGCAGCAAATCCATGTCGCAAACATCGATCGCTCATTTCATATTATCATTTCGACAAATATCACCACGTTCAGGTATAGACATACTTGCATACTTAATATAGACTCCACGAGATGAAGAAAGAAATGGCAATTGGAAAGACATTGTCTAGCGCGGTTGCGTTATCTTGTTTATTTCTCGTCTATGTCGCGTTGGAGGTCAGTAAACCGTCTCCAGAAAAGCGGGATCGATGTGAACAGGCCAGGAACTCACCCTTGGTGTCGTAAGACGAATCAATAGCTCCGAGCAACAACTGCAAACGTAAAAGTTCGACATCTTAGATAATTCTCCTTGCCAATCCCTGGTCCAAGTATCTCACCTTGATCAAGTACGTTTCCTGATAGAGCCGAAGAAGAAGTCAGCGATCAGGTTAACGTTGCCAAGATCATCTTGGGGTTAAAGTCCAGCTTACCGGCGACAGATCTGGCAAAGATAACCGAAAACGATCATCAGCCTCTGTTCACTTCGTCCCGACGAAACGTCCAGCTTACCGATTCCAGTGGTGCGCATCATCTGCTCCTGCTCGGCCTCGTAGTTACCGGTCTGATCGATCATAGGACCGACAACAGGGTGGTTGTCGAGTTCGTCCAAGAAGGCTTCGGCCTTCGCGTCGTTTCCGACCTGGGCGAATTGGAGAGCAAGAGCTCCAGGTCCGTACTGCAGATGTACAGTGACATGTAAATATTTGTTCACTCGGTCAGGTTGACGCCGAACTCACCCTGGTGCGCTGCAACTCTTGGTTGGTCCTCATGATTACGTTGAACTAGAGCAAAAACCAAGTGAGCGGGACTACACACAAACCACGAGATCAAGCAAGACCTACGACCTGTTCCTTGGGTTCCCCAGCTGGGCTGTAGAGTAGGGAGAAGAGACGATATTCGATTCGACGTCAAAAATCGGTTCACCGGCCCAAAAGATCGGACCGCGCGACTGATCCTCCGAATCATGACTCACCTGCCGTCCGTTCTGATTTGACTGACGTCAGCTAGCTATACGACGTTCTTCATACTCGAGCCTCCCGACTCTTACATCGAGATAACTAGGACCGGCTTCTGCAGCGCGTTGTTCCTCGCGGGTCCCAAAATCATAGGCTGAATGATCTTCTGATCAAGCGCCGTTCCAAGAGGGGTGAGGCCTGTGATCCGAGCCGTAAGAACGTTTACTTCGGGATATACCGAGGCCAGTCGAGGCTTACCAGAGAATTTGACCTGAGAAACCAAGTTCTGAGCGGACTGCTCCGAGTTGATGCCATCTCCCTGAAAACGCGCATGATAACGTAAGCGACCCTGCTATGAATTTGGGAATTTTGTACGGCGGACAGCACTCACGTTGATCCGAGAGTTCATGAATCGGACCTGGTTGAGCCGCAGAACGAGGTGTGAAAATTGAAAATCTGAACCTCGATTTCCGACACTCGAGTCGAAATGGTGCTTACGGAAATTCCATCCTGGTCGAACAACGAAGTAGCATAAGCGACCCTGCCCATCAATGCTTTCAGATCGTCGATTCGCTCTCCGTTCTCCTCGAAGGCCATGGAACCAGAGTCTGATGTGCCGATGTCGTCAGTCACCAATCCGGAGGGTCCTCGGTCCCTATCTGACGACTCACCGTCAACGTAGAGGACAACGTCGTACAGACTGAGCTTGACCAAATCGGTAGCAAGCTCTTGAGGCATACGCCACTGATCAGCGATCCTCTGAAGAGCTCCGGAGGAAGCGACCTTGGCGGCGATCATGTCCAAAGTGCCCGAACCGGGAGGGTAAAATCCTTGGAGTTTTTGCTGAAAACACTATCGTCAGATCCGGCGCAAGAGCTGCAGTGAACAAGCGACGTAGTACTCACGTCAGTGACACACTGCTCCAAGACGGTCTTCAGGAAACCAGCGTTTCCAGTGTTACCCGCACCTCCAGCTCCGGCAGAAGGAGGAGGTGCGCCGTACTGCTGCTGTTGCTGCTGCTGGGGCGGCTGACCGTATTGTTGCTGTTGTTGAGGCTGTCCATACTGTTGCTGCTGAGGAGGCTGCCCGTACTGCTGTTGCTGAGGAGGTTGGCCATACTGCTGTTGTTGAGGCGGCTGGCCGTACTGCTGCTGTTGAGGAGGCTGACCGTATTGTTGCTGCTGAGGCGCTCCACCAGCACCGGGGTAACCGGGAGGAGGTCCCGAAGGAGGAGCGAATTGACCGCTTTGAGGACGGGATTGAGGGTTGGCAGCGGGAGGCGGGCCGCTGGGAGGCGCGTATCTGCACGAAACCGACCAGTGTCAGACAAACAACAGACGTAGTAAAAGAAGCTAGAGACCAGACGCACCCTCCAGGAGCACCACCAGGAGCGCCTCCGGGAGCACCACCAGCTCCACCTTGAGCGGCTTGCGCAGCAGCTGGATACGTAGATTGGTAAGGAGGGGCAGAGTACGGTTGTTGTTGACCGTATTGCGAAGGAGGTTGCGGGTACGCCGATTGAGGATATGGCGATCCGTATGCCGAGTTTTGCATTTGCGGAGAGCCATATGATTGGGAAGGAGACGGATAGCCACCGTAACCAGCAGGTTGAGGCAATGGTCGAGAACCGGTCGGCGGTTGCGGTGGGTACGCCGAAGGATAGCCAGATTGCGGTTGTTGTTGAGGATACGAGGACGATCGTTGATGATTAGACGGGTAGGCGTTAGTACTACTGCTGCCACCGTACGCCATCCCTTGGGCATCACCGGGTTGGGCTTGCGCACCTAATTTCGCAGCAAGACCCATGATTGTCTAAGTGAGGTTCAAAAGTCGTGTATGTGTATGTATGTTTCGAGCGGCGTTTCGCAGCTTTCTATTATCAGATCGTCTCGACGGGTAGTGTCTAGGTACGTTGAGCGAGATTCGGAATCAGGGAATAAGAGAGACTGCGAGCGGTCGATTTGTCTGCGAGACTGCGACTTGTGTGTGTGTACGTGTGTGTCTATATACTCTGTCCCCCCCCCGACCCCTGCACCCGGGCTCCCTCGACCCGCCATCGCGATGACGAATTCGGTGCGTAGACTTTGCGTCAACCGTAGATCGCCCTCCAATCTCATCCCCTTCGGGCTGCCAAGCGAGAATCGCCAAGGCACACGCCCTTCCCCGTCCGCCGGGTCGGCATCGGCTGACCCATCCCACCGATCCGCAGTTCAATAGCCTGCCTGTGGTTTCATTTATCCCCAGCCGGTCCACCGACGATCGGCATGGGCTGCGTTTCAGCATCGACACCATCTACAGCCTGGCGCTGCAGGTCAACTCCGAGGCAATTATCGAAAGCGAGTCCGCTAGTCTCCGGTTTATCCAAATGCCCCGGCAAGGACGAGTTGGGATCCTCCAGCCGTTCAAGTTGGTCCAACAACGCTTCCCAGTGTTCCTGTCCTCCAGATTCGTTTTGCCCGATGAAAGAAAGGTCCACGTCCATGGCCGTTTCCGGATGGGCAATGAAGATTCCAGAATCGTTGTCCATGTCGTGGTCCGGCTGACTGTGAGGCAAGACGGCGCTGTTCAATGGAGTGACGAGAGATGAAGATGGCTCCGTACTTAGGAGACTCGGCCTTCGGTCCAGCATGAGATCCGGGACCATGTCCATCGAATCCCAGTTGGTATTGGGCGCGAGTAGTGGCGAGGCGTCTCCGATCTGAATCTCAAGCATTTCCTGATCGTTATCGTTGAATTGAGCTTCGAATCCGCTGAAGAAGTCTTCTTGTCCTTCGGCAGGGCTGACGCTTCGATGAAAGTTCAGTCCGCCAGGGTTCGTCGCCTGCGGCTGCTCATGATAGTTGCACCCGAAGACATCATCGACTTGCTGCGGATAGAATGGGAACCCGTCCGATGTCGTTCCCTCAGGCTGACCATGATCGTTGCAGCCGAAACTATTGTCGACAGATTGTTCTGGCTGGACAGGGCTCACGTCTTGGCGGTCTTCTCGGATTGGGCTAGCGGTATCGAACATCGTGGTTGGCTGTGAGGGTCTGCCAGTCCACCTTGCAAGGATAGCTTCACCTAGCTCGTTATTTGCTGTCATCCGATCGAACATGTTGACGCCCCGGAAGCCGAAAGGCTGGCCGAACCTATTCATGTCCTGGAAGGCGGAAAGCTGATCGAACAAGTTGATGGTTGGGATGGCGGAAGGTGGAGCGACCGGTTCATTGCCCTCGACGGTGAAAGGCGGGCCGTCCGGGGCAGTAAAGTTCTCCGGAGCAGTAAAGCTGTCCGGCGCAGTAAAGGTTGACTCGGTCTGGTCTCCGGTCGAGTTGGCATTTCCGCTCCCATTTCCAGATTCATCGCCCCATTGACTTTCACCCGATTGCCATTCGACTAGCTCCTCGTTATGATCATCATCGACGGTGTTGGCAAGCGACCAAAAGGTTTCGGGCGACATGCCTTCGTACTGGGCTAGAGCTGATTCGAAATCGGTTTGTCGTTTGCGGCGTGCTGAAGTGGGCAGTCGACCGCGCCCTCGGTGAGCGGTGGTACCGCTGGAGCGTGGCCAACGACCTTCGCCGTATTGAAGGTTGCGAGCCGTGAGGACCCTGGCAAGGCTCTCTGCCAGCTGTCAAATCGAAACAGAGTTGTTAGCTATCTGATTAGGCTCTTCCACCTCGTTGGAAGATGACTCACATCTACACCTCCCCTCACAGTCAACCTCGGCGCAGGACCTCTATCCATGGATGGCAGCGATCCGTCCCATTTCCACATGACATCTCCATCTTCGTCTATTTGAGGCACCCAAGTCTCGTATACGGGATGCTCGGCGAGGAGGAGTTGCTGAATTTGATCTCCCGTAGAGGCCTTCTCTCTGAATCCTTCGAAGGCGTCAGGGTCAAACCCGTAGATGTAGGTGACTTGAGACGCGAAGATCACGCAGCGCTTGTGAACTCTGAAACGCGCAACTCGGTTGTCAGAAACGGTGATCCCCCCTCTTTGTAAGTTGACAATAGGATGACTTACGCGCCCTCCCTCCAGCGGCAAACAAGTTGGCCGTCAGTTGCGATGATGTAGCAGAAATTGCTGTTCGGTTCGTCTGCATGTTTCTCAGGTTCCCAATCATCCAGCTTGAATGTCGTGCAATCGAGTATCTCTATTTCTGAAACCCGCCTCGTCGAGTAAAGGTTAGCCTCCGTCCTTCTCGTCGCGCACTCGACGGAACGGTATCTACCTTCTCCTGCGACCATCTCACTATCGAACACTGGTAAGATACTGAACCGTTCCAGCCATCGTAGGTCGTCGGGCAAGAGTCCGCTTTCGGCCGGATTGAACCATCTGGCAGGAGGAAGATTTCGCAAGGAAGTTTCTTTGTTGAACCATTTCTGAAGAACGATCTCCCTTGAGCACGCTGTCTGGGGGCCGATGTTATGCTATTTACTCACCGTCCATTTCGCTTTAGCCGGTTTGATCTTGATCTTCTCGCATTCTTCTTCCATGAAACGTCTTTGCTGCTTGGAAGGTCGTCTACCCCTATCTCGATCAACCATACCGACCGGCCATCTTGCAGTCAGTCTCGTTGAACGGTTCTGGTCTCATCGCAAATATACTGACCCAAGAACGTCTAGAGCCTTTTCAAGAACGGCAGTCTCCACCTTATGCAGCCTCGTATCTTTCTGCCCTCGTCGTCTAGGTCGGGGTCTGTTGCTACTGGTACTGGTAGATGATGGATCGATGGGCATGGGGAAGAAGGTAGGTACGGGTTCGATGACATCCTGCCGTGAATGAAGCCACCGAGTATCGCCTGCATGAGCTACCCCGATCGCGTTTTGAAAACGATGATCGATTACTTACAGGCAAAGGAGTACGTCCCGTGACCGCTGATCCTACTTCGTATCGGGGCCTGCCTCGAGGATTGCACAGCTCAAAGTGACGCTCGGCGCATTGCTGACAGTAAGGAGCTGGTTCTCCCGCGAACGGCACCTTGCTGCCTCGTGGGGGCATGTCGAAACCGGAGGCGGGACGCTGGTGAGGTATAGGAGAGGTTGAAAATGTCAAGTGAGAACTTGATCACTGCTAGGTGCTTGGGTATTCGAGGTGGATTGGCGAGTGCTCCTTTGGCACCACGCCGCCGCGGCGATGTTTCGTGTCGACCAGTCGATGTTCCGGATCCTTTACGCCGCACTAAAGGCTTATATTATTGGCTATCGAACTTGTCCATAGGGTGGTGGGTTGACCAAAGTGCGACGGACCAGGAAAATCGAATTTTTTGGTGATGAAGGGAAAATCGAAAGGCATTCTCCTGATCAAAATGATCAAAGCATTCCAGGTGGATCCACTCCAACGGTGGCAATCGCGCGTGATGGAACACATCCCATCAATCCCGCGTAGAAGATCAATCAACCATGCGACCGACTCATGCTGACATCCAAGATCGCTCGGACAAGAGCTTGTGATCATCAGCATGTACCGTCAGACTGGTCACGCCAAGCAGACCACGGATGCTTTGTCTATGCAAAGATGTACTGGCGGGTATGCAATGTTACAACGGGTGGTATGCCTATACTAGTTCGTCTTCGAGGACAAAGTTCACTCTACCTTGATATCTATATTGACTGGCTCGTTGCGATCCGGATCCGTGCGTGTTGCCTCTGCTTTCACATCTGACAGCGTCGTCGTCGTGTAGCCATTCCCATTCTCAGGTGAGATCGCGCCTTGATCTTCAGGCTTCACGGTCGAAGGTTTCGTTTCGGAGGCGAGCAGATCTGGTGAGACCACCGTGTTCTCGACTGTAACATCCTGCTCCATGTAATGTGCCGCCTGTGAGCATCAAACTGGACAATCAGCGACATGTTGATGCGAGATCTCGCCCGCTGACTTACAACATCCATATCATCGTCCAAGACTTCCTTCTGTATCAACCCTCTCCGATGAAACTCGATAATCATCGCACAACAATCTGTGCCATTTCATCCCGCGCAACACCACAATCAGCTCCGCGCTACTCGCAATCATAGGCAGACCCGGCTTCGACACTCACCTCGCATTTCGGCTTGAAACTGATCTTCCCTGACTTTGATCGGCTTGATCCCATCTTGTGGCAAGAAAGCGTCTTCCCAAACCGAAACCGGATCTCCATCAAGCGCTCTTAGCGAGTCGTACACCGTTTGACACTTCATCATGCTGATCGCGAGGATGTAGGCAGAGGCGGCGATGATATGAGGTTTGGAGAGGACCGTCAACGGCGTAGTAATGCTGTGTCGTTGGACAAACATTTTATGGGTTCAGATGAATCCGGTACCAAGAACACTTTGATGTTGAACCCGATCACTCACGTAGCCATCAAAATCTCCGTCGCCAGGTCCAGCAAAACCTCTTCCGCCTCTTCCTCGCTCAATTTCGCATCCCCATCCAATTCCCCGTCTTCCCTCTGACCTCCCCCTCCGTTCGGCTTGTCCCCGATAAAGTTCGCATGTCGCGGCAGGGGCGAATCCATATCCATATCAATGACGCTTCCCAGAGCCGACCCGGGCGTCTTGTTCCCCAAATTCGACCCCGGTGTCCGTCCTCCTAACGTCGAACCGGGCGTCTTTCCTCCCTGTCCTGGTGTTGATGATAAAAACGAAGCCGGGGTCTGGTTCCCCTCGTTCGATCCGATCGGCGTACTGTTGTTATTATTGCTATTGACGATATTTCTAGCGGTACTCTTTCGCCGAACTTGTTGGAACGCTCTATGTCCCTGGATAAGGATCGCCTGAGGGTGTTCGACGGCGAGATCGTAACACAAGGCTTCGAGGAGGTATTCTTCATTGATGACCAGATCAGCCGTGTAGGTTCTGCTCTCCTGCTCAGACAAGACGGTATTGTTTTTCTCGTCAGCCCGTTTGTTGAGGTATAGCGTGAATACTGATGGTAAATGAAGCAGAAGGAGCAATCACTTACAGCCCGTTCATAGCCTAGTTCTACCTTCATCGCCTGAGATATCGTCCTGACCTTGATCTTGGTCATCTCCTCCGTCTTCAACGCCAAGTACAAGCATGTCGGGGCGATGAGCTATGGTGAGAAGGAAAGCGGGAGTAAGGTTGAAGCGACGATTGAGGCAATCAGCTCACCGAGCACTGTTCATGAGGCGTGATAGCTGGAAAACAGAAACAGATTAGAACTCACCTTGATGGGGAAATCTTGCAGGGCGAATCGCATGTAGAATCGATGCAGGAACGTTGCCGCGGCGTATTGCACGTAAGAAGCATATGGCCTGACAAAAGAGAGAAAGGAAGACATGCCACTCATTGAGCTTTCGGTGACGGCTGGCCAGTACCATGTTTCTCTGAGCAGGACTCACATGGACTGATACTCTGCGTGCGTACAATCCCAATGTCTGGCATCCGCCGGACTCCAAGAATGCTGCATCGCCTTGACTTCGGGTACTTGACTAGGGTCCAGCTCGGGCAAACGTTCGCATATCCGCCTGATCAGGTCTACTCCTCGTCTCCGATCCTCCAACTCAGTCTCGAGAGGGATCGTGTTGTCCTCGCTGCTCGGGGTCACTTCTAGGTGAGCTGGGGAGAAGAGCCATTGTTGAGGGTAGGGCGAGATGTAGGTCGAGTTGGCTTCAACCATGTTTCAGTTCTAGAGGTATCGGAGCTTGCTCGTCAAGGGGTCACCGCATGGGCACGTCTTCTGGTAAATGATACAGTAACGGTTCTGGTAGATGTCGTAGGTCAAGTCCTAGTATTTGTGAATTTGTGTATAATAGTTTGAAGAGGTGTAAAAGTCGATGAAAGGATAAGATGAGCAACTCGCAACTCGAGCAGTTAGCAGGTTCAAGAGGTCGGGACCAACATCTCGGATCCAATCAGAATTCTTACGTAATCACACAGACGACCGTCGCGTGCCATTCCCCCTCTCATCATCAGACAGCGACCAGCTCCAGGGTACAGGGTGGACTGGCATGACTTGTAGCTTGTATCGACTAGCTATTAGTTCCTCATCATAAGTATCGCCTTCCTCTACCTCATCGTCATCTCCAACTCATATCACACTCGCCACTCCGAGGTGCCCCGTTCATCCAGATCAAAAGGAAATGCCATAGAGGAAGGAACGACGAAACGACCCTTTCAAGATTCAAGATACAAGTAGATAATGCAGAGCAACGTCTGGCGAGGACAACAACATCAGGCCCCTCGTCGTATAGACGAGGAAAGCTCGAGTCCTCAACAGTCGAACATGCAGTACGGTTATAATGCTCAGCAGCAGATGCATCAACAGCAACAGCACCAGCAACAGCAGCAACAGATGCAGCAGGTGCAGAATCAACAGGGTGGACAGCAGCAAGGTCAACCCGTCGCCCAGCAGCAACAACAGCAGCAGCAACAGCCTCAGCAACAACTCCAAGCGGTCGATCAGAATGGGAACCCGATCCCAGTCAATCCTAACCAGAACTCGAACGCCGGGGACGGGTCGAGTCAGGGTGGATCTCAGAACCCGCCTATGAACCTAGCGAGCGTGCTGCATTACTTGCAGAGCGAATGGAGACGCTGGGAGCGGGATAGGAACGAGTGGGAGATTGAACGTGCGGAGATGCGGGTGCGTTCGAGCTCAGGAAACTCCCTCTGGTCAACCTGCTGGAGCTGATCCTTTTGCGTGCATCATACTGCTCTGATAATGCGATGACGATAACAGGCCCGGATAGCGCTCTTGGAGGGCGAACGACGTTCAGCGGAGAACCTGAAGACGGATATGATGCGACGGGTCAAGATGCTAGAATTCGCTCTCCGGCAAGAACGGTCAGTCCAACTCCGTTTCTCCCATAATTTATCCGCTTCTGCTTCTCGGCTTATCGGTACTGACTTGCATCCTCATCGACCTCACCTGAATCCCCCTTTATGTCGATTAGCTCCAAGACCTTGTCCTCGGCATCCGGCTCGACGATGACCCTAGGAATGGGCAATCAAAACACTTTGGCACACGCCAAACTGACTTCGCTTATCAGCGAAGAAAAAGCCTCGCACGAAAAGGACAAGGATGCCAGTGCAGGGGGCAGCGGGGGAGGTGAAAGTCCAAAGAGTTCCGGAGGTCGTGAGTCGCTTCTCAAGTGATAGGGTACTCGAGTATATCACCTGAATATCTGTTGGATGCGGATATACAGACCTCCCCAATGGAAAGGCCAACAAGGCCGAGTCGACCGCTGGGGGGACTTGGAACGCTACTGCCAACGGTCCTTGGAAGGCAGCTTTGAGCGCACCCAATCGGGATGGGAAGAGTAGGGCTCGGAGTAGGGACTACTTGAAACAGTGAGTGAAAGAGGATGCAGGTAGTAACAGCGTCAACTGCAGATGCTGAGGATGGACCTATCCCGATCGCTCTTGATAGATGTCTGCAAGAAATCTCCTACTTGACATCCGCGGCCGCCTTGAACCCTCTTCCGAACAAGCTCGCTTTCGATCTCTCGTTACCACGGCCAGCGTCTCCCAGCGTCAACGACGACAAGGAGAAGGGTCAGGGCAGGGACAGGCCGCATCAAGCTGAAGAGGCGCCCGCAAAGCCGCCCGTAATGATGGACGTCCCTCCTCGGCCGAAAAAGGTGCTGGAAGAGCAAGCGGTCAAGCCTAAAGCTGGGGAGACGAGCGAGACCAAGGCAGATGGCGTGCCATTCCCGAGCGACAAGCGGGAGAACGAGTCTGTTCCTGCAGCCAAGGAGGCTACGTCTGCCGGTGCCCCTGCTGAGGACAAGTCAGGGGCGCCCGACTCGGCTGCATCGTCGGCATCTGCTTCGGAAGCGAGGTCAACGGACAGACGGTCAGGTTCCGAATGGATCGGTTCTTCCGCGTCGTCCTCGTCGTCAAAGGATTCGACCGGAGATGATTCGCAAGACGTCTTGACGGCCATCTACAAGCCGGAAAGTAAAGAGGTGTGGAAGAAGGCTTTGCAGGCTGCCAACGACAAGGCGGAAAAGGTATGTGGAAGCGGCTGATATCTCCCGTTTGAGAAGCGTTCTAATCTTAACTATATTGCAATGTATCAGGCTCAGCGGGAGGCCAAGGCGCAGATCGAGAGCGGGACTCTGAGTAAGTCACGTATACCTCGTCAACTGTCCGGCGACGAGTCCTCGGCTGACCGGCTTTCTGTACGTCTCGCTCCAGCCGAATCTGCCATCGCAACCGAACAGAACACCTCTCTGGACAGTCTTTCCGAGGCTGGAGAAGTAGCCGCTTCTGCTAAACGGCATTGGACACAGAGTCGACAGTTGAAGAGGTAAGCCAAGGTCGGATTAGGCCTGAACCAGTCTTAGGGTTTAACCATCCGCTTGACGTCGACCGATAGTCACCTCGACTCGGTGCGTAGTGTCGAATTTGGCGTCAATGGGGAGACTTTGGTTTCAGCCTCCGCCGATTGCACTGTCAAAGTTTGGAAGCTGGACCTGAACAGGCTCGCCGGTTCCAAGTGAGATCAGCCCGTCGATCTCGATTTGCTATTTGCGTGGCTGAGCCAATGACCTTGATGTAGATACGCCGGTGCTGGTATCGAGATCGAGCCGCAGGTAACGTTCCGTGGCCATACCGCTGCTGTCACTTCGCTGGCGGTTGCTCAAACCGGAGTAATCTTCAGTGGCTCGATGGACGCGACTATCCGTGTCTGGCAGATACCACCGGCGACGTATGACACGTACTCGGCTTACGACCCCTCAATGACCCTTGAGACCCTTATTGGACATACCGACAGCGTCTGGGATGTAGCCTTGCTCCCAAGCCGTGATTACGAGGAAGGCTATCTGGTATCCGCCAGTGCTGACGGGACCATCAAGGTCTGGGATGCCTCGCCGTTATACGCCACTTCCAAGAAGGGATACTCGTTGCTCCGTACGTGGCGTTATGCAGGCTCTGAGGGCAAATCCGACGACAAGGAGGACCAGCCGGTTCCAGTCTCGATCGCACCTTATCATCCGGACTACAAGAATGTGCTCGTAGGGTTCAACAATGGTATCACCAGGGCATACAATCTGGATTCGGGTAAAGCGGTAATGATATTCGGCACAGATGAAGACGGTATGTCGCGCGAAGATAGTGGACTCGCAGCTCGTAGCTGATCACACGGCCTCATTGTAGACCTGTCTCCTTGCAGTCAGGTCCTTTGCCACCCTACACTCGACATAGTGGTTTCCGCACATGAGGATGGGAAGCTGCGATTTTACAATAGCAAAACTGGTACGTTGAAGAGCGACGCGCTGCCCATGGCTTAACAAATGGAGGTGTTGATCTCTGGGGGAATTTGCAGCCCGCTTGACGTCGACGGTTGTGGGCCACGCAGATACGACGAACGCGATCGACATCGACCCGAATTCTTCTTCAACGCTGGTCTCGGGCGGGGACGATTGTTCATGCAAGATTTGGGACATCACGACCGGTACATGTGGCCAGGATTGGTCTCACCACAGAAGAAAATACGATCAAGGAGTGCTCGCCGTAAGATTTGGAGAAAAGGCGCCTGTTCTCGCCACTGGAGGCGCCGATGGAGTGGTCAGGGTATATTGTAGATCCACCTAATCTTCTTTGTCTTGTTGTTCATCGTGGGTGTGGCTCAATCTCGTCTCGGTCCTATAAGGGAATGGTGCTTACGTCCCGACCCCGCTTTGCAGATCTCACGATTTGTTTGATCGCTCCGGCCAAGACAATTTATTTACGACTTTCGATTTGTCCTTGAACTTGTTCGAAGATGCCAAGCATAACCCAGGAGAACGTTGTGAACTGATGAAGCAATGATAATGATATTACACAAATTGCATCTACCTGCAGCAAGGGCTCGACTCAAAACACCTTCGTAAAGCCTGAGGTCGATGGCTCCATTGCATGATGCGGCTTTGCTGATGTTTGTTTCCCGTCCATTATCGCACATATTGCAACTCTGACCTGCCGACGAAACAGTCGTATTCACGTAAAATAGCATTCCAGGGCTTGATGTCGCGAAGTGGTTGAGCTTATACCAGCTTGCCACCCGAATATGCAAGTATCGTCGACAGCCTCATAACAGCAGTCACAACAACAACCCTTGCCTATCACCGACACTGCCTATGAGCCCGTTCCGAGCCTTACAGTCTTTAAGGCGGGAGGGCGAAAGGTTTTGTTAACATCCAAGGGGTGCAAAGGGAGCTTGTTGCGAACCCAAGCTGCTCCCAGGGCCGCTGAGCCCACTATCGCTTTGTCGGCTCTATAGGACTCGATCTGGGAACAACAGCCTGAAACCTGTACAAGCGCGACCAACTACCATAGGTATCGCACAAAATGATCTCCAATTTCAATCTTTGGTCTTGAGCAATAGGCATATCTAGCAAATAAACAAGAGCTGAGTGTCCATAGGGTGACTCGCGCTGAGTTGAGGTTTCTGGCTGTATTTCCCCTTCAATTCATCCCGGATCGTGACCAGCAACTGCTGGTAGCTCTGCTGCGGGTTCTGGTTCAGAGCCGAGATGAAAGCCTGTGCGAAGGGATCGACGTCAGTCGAGAAAGAATAAAATCGGACTTCAAGTCCACTCACGTATGACATTGCGCCTGTCGCTTGCGAGGCTATTTGCGTGTCAGCGCTCTGTTTAAGAGAAACCGTTAACATCTATCAGTTGCTTGCCTTGAGCGCCACAATACTCACGGTCTGATCGTCTTTGCAGCCGGACCAGGAAACGACGTCCGCCGGGCTGGTCTTGGTCCTGAAAGTCCATCACAATGTCAGCCTTCGAACGAACCTCCGGATCTATACATCGACAACACGGGAACTCACTGTTTGACTTTTTCCGCAGCCCCGCTGTTCTGGTTGATGATCTTCTTGCCCAGACCCATCACCCCGGACAGCATCCCGCCGACGTCTCCCCTCATATAAGACATACCAGCTGACAAGAGGCCTTGTCCAGCGTCGGCCAGGAGGTTGGGCTCCTTGATCTTTCCTTCGGTCGAGTACTGATGATTGATAAACGAAAGTCAGGTCGGCTCGCACAGTATCGACGTGATCTCGATGCTACTCACGACATAAGGAAGATCTAAAGCGCTGTTTCATTCGAATGATCAAACTCGTTCAGTCAGCTACATCGTCAATCTATTGATACGAAACAAGCGATACTTACGTAGCCGAATGACAGCTGTCGAAGATCGCCGTCAATCTGCACCCAGCAGGCAAAGGCTTGACCAAGATGTCGTGTCTACGCGATTCTTGGAGATCAGTCTTCACGCCGGATCTGCAGCAAGACTCTGTGAGGGGAGCTTACAACTCGTCGTCGACGATATGGCCGCTGACTTTATGGTCGAGAGGGTAGATGACCTCGTCGTACCCGTCCCTTCGAAGATGCAACAAGGTCAAGCAAATTTAGGGTCAGCCCAAGACGTGCCCGCTCGAGTCTGCTAATGACAACGAGACTTACTCTTCGTCTCCGTTGGTGTCCTGGGTCTGTCCTCCGTGTCCCGAACTTGAGAACAGGCGCGATCCCCAAGTCAGTTTCGCAGCAGTCATCTTGACCCGACTTTGAAGCGAAGACGAGACTCACTAGTGGAAGAACAAGGAATCGTTAGGCCTCGCCCCATCGACCAACCAGTTCATAGCCGCAATCATATTCTCCCTCGTCGGGATCTGCCTCGGGTTCCTAGCATCATCCGTCAAGACGACAATGTCCTCCTGTTTATACCCAAACCTGTCACACAGGAATTTGACCATATTGTGCGCGTCGTTGATACAGCCTCCGAGGGCTTGAGAGGTACCAATGTAGTTGCAGCCGATGGCAAGCGCTTTACGTTTCCCGTTACATTGGGAGTACTGAAAGAAGGGTTGTTGCCTGCCACCGCCCTGGTTGCCGTTCTGGAACTGCGGTCCGTAGAATTGGTCGCCTTGGGGCGGTCGGTCTGCGAACGAGTAGGAGCTCAGATTGTCTATTCTCGACAGTAAGGTCGTGACTGTAGGATTTGAGACTCACAAGGCGCAGGGGCACCCGGAGGAGGTCCGTGAGGGCGAATGTGCTGCTGAGTGGGATCATACCCAGACGATCTGCTCGGCGGGGGGATTCCATATCAATGGCCCGATTTGGAGTAAGACGAGTTGTGATGTCGATTTGTAAACTCACCCGACGGCATAATGATCAGGAACCCCTTGCCCAGCCGGAGGTTGCCACCCGCCACTCCCGAATCCACCCCCACCGCTGTTATGGCTCCTGTGATAGGCTCCACCGTCTCCTCCACCATAGGCGGGAGCAGGAGCGCCGTAAGAAGGAGCGTTGCTGTTATAGGCTAGGTCTTGTCGCTGATGATGGTATTGTTGAGGAGGAGGAGGACCGGGAGGGGGAGCTCCGTAGCTAGGTTGATTTTGGTATCCTCCTCCGTATTGACCTGGAGGTGGGCCTGGAGGGGGAGCGCCGTAACTAGGGCCGAAAGTATGGAACATAGATATGATCAGTGACATGACAATAAGAGGTGGGGACAGGGTTAGTTGGGCGCATGATACTCACCCGTAGGGAGCTTGCCCGCCTCCGTATGTAGGTCCCGGTTGACTACAATTCCCAGCCCGGATCGCACCATGACGGATCAGCGCCCCTAGGTCGGCCACAAGAAGCGGAGAGCTTGAACTCACGGATATCCTCCAGGACCTCCTCCTCCATAAGTGACGGGATGCCCGTAGTTCCCTCCACCGGGTGGACCGCCGTAGTTAGGTCCTTGGTGATGTCTACCTGCACCTGGATAGTCTGACATCGTTGGGTTTCTGTTGAGGTGTCTGCGTTGCCTGGTTTCGAGTCCGGGTATGTTATGAAGACGATGGTGGTGGTATTTGTATAGTAGCACCAGGGATTATGATGTCTGATCAGAACAGTCACACTTCTTAACTCCAGGTCATATCGAGTAGTAAAATGAGGTTTGGCATGCGCATATCGCCCTCATATCAGCCTCATATCGCTGTCATATCAGGTCAGGCGATATGGGGACCGATGATTGTATATGGTCCGGCAAATATGAGGCGCGATATACACGTCATATCACGCGGTCGATATGAGGGCCGACGCGTCATATTGATAAGACCAAATGAGGGCGATATGATCATATAAATGATCCCGATCAGACGATATGAGGTCGATATAGTCATCTTCATACCCCACATTTCACGGACATCGATACATCAGATTTTATCACATTCGCTACTTTTATAGCCGCTGGGCGGTTCGGGCTACGGTAATACGGAAGAACGGGTTGGTGTGAGGCCGAGCACGGATCAAGATTACGGTAAGATCAGATCCCGGCTCACCGGAAAGGTTCGACGTCTTCGATATCTGATCAAAGTTCCTTCCGCTATGGCTTGTTTCAGGCTCGCTGCCGCTAGATCGTCTGAAACATGTCGTCTTCTGATGCCACACCGTCACGGCAACAGCGAATCAGCAACCCTTCGTCGGCTTCGTCTTCGAGTCAGAACAACCTGCCTGCTATGCGTCCCTCCCCCCAGCGTCGAGGCCCAGATCAATCACCCAGACCTGGACCCGGTCAATATCCTGGCTCTTCTTCCTCCCAGTCGATGCAACAGACTCCTCTCCGGACCCGGGACACGGGCGACATGGGACTTGGAATGCGAGTGCGACCAGGAAACGGCAATCGTCAGCCCAAAAATCAAAACCCGAACCAAAGTCCCTCAACTCACACGACTCCCCGGCCAAAGGCTCCAGGCACTATCCTTCCCTCATCCAGTACGCCTCAGCCCCGACCTGCATTCAGACCAGCCGTCCCGGCAGCGGGAACACCTTTCAATCGCCCACCTGGTCCAGGATCGGGTGTCCCGAACAATTTAGGTCAATTCCAGCGAACAGTCACTCAACAACTCGACCAACTCACCACCAGAATGAACGCGACTGCCAACGAGATGTTGGCCCTGAAGCAATGGAAGCAGGAACATGAGAACGATGCGCAGTTACTCAAGCGTCTACACCTCACCGTTTCTGCGCAACAAAAGGAGATCGAGAGTCTGAAGGACAAGGTCGAGGATCTTATGATCAGAAGGAGCGGACCCGTCGACGGAGCGGACCCACGGGCAGCGACCATGATATCCAGGATGGTCCGATCCGCTATCGAGTTTTGCTATGGCCACGACACCAAACCGCCTCAGTCGTATCCAGAAGGACAAACCTGGCCACGTCAACTGACGGCCGATGGTCAGCCTGGGGCTGAGCTGATGCGCTGGGATCACACCAAGAGCTACTCACACGACGACAACATCCGAGAAACCGGCAGAGTCCTTGCTGTCCTGCAGAATCCTAACACCCGATCAGCGATTCCGCTTCCCGCCGACACTCCTCTCGCATCAATCCCGCCTTTCGAGACTCACGCCGACATGTACCGCAGGAGCGTTGCCCGAGCTTTCAAGACCTTCACCACGACTTTCCGTCAGCAGGCAGCCAAAGCGTGGAAGGCGACCGGCCGAGCAGAGACGATGAAAGATATTGCGGAATTGGAGAAGATGGTTCAGAGGGGCGGCGGGATGGAAGTGGAAGAATCCATCAGGAGCAAGAAGGAATACGTGAAGGCCCAGGACGAGCTCACCGCCAAAGCAATGCCCGACAAGGTTACCGACCACATCAGAATCGTCCGATCCCGCCTCCAAACTACAGTCAAATGGATGGTCGAAAGGCGTCCGCTGTCGGAGTATTCTGGGCCCGCCTACGATGTCTTCGACTACTCGTATGGATTGATCCCTGTAGCCCCCCTGGCGGATGAGAGCGGATCGACAGAATGCTACTGGCCGACTCGGGAAGGGGTTTACTCACAGCTTTACGAAACCATTTACGACACGATCTATCAGACCGAATGCCCAGGGAGCAAGTTGCAAGGAACGAGCGCCAAGGACGATCCCGAAATCAGCCCTCCTGCCGAACCACTCTTCCCGACTCGACTCACAGACTTACACAAAGGCCCCCAGAGATGGATGTTCTGCGAGGAGTGGTGTAAAGAGACGAAATACAGAATGTACTATTGCCAATAGGGCAAGCCATAAAGCCGCAAGCCACTCGCTCGCACGCTCGCACGCTCGCCGCTTCACCTTGTAATAGTTGCGACAGTCGCTTGCTCGCACGCTCGCAATCCCGCAGCGCCGCACGCTCGCACGCTCGCACGCTCGCTCGCTCGCTCGCAGCCTCACTTGTACCCCTCACTTCCTTCGCTCATGAGTATATATATGAGGAGGGAAGGATGAGAACAAGCTACCACACTTGTCCTCATCTCTTCACTCTTAGATTCACCAAGAAACAATTCGCTACCCTTGCAACAAAGCAAGCTCCGCGTCCTTCTACAAGTGCACTTCAAGATCAACGGATTAGCTACCCATTAACCTTGAAGCGGAAGAGTATACAGATAAGGTGAGCATTAAATACCAACTGGGTGATAACACAACGGGAATAGTCTTTGCAGATCAGCCGAAAGGATCGGGTCGCAACAACTTGGGGTCCCACCTGTGACACACTTCACCACTTGCCACCGCTTCAGTAACTCTTCAATCTAAGGAGTCAACTTCTCCTTTCTTACAACAACCACTTCGACTCATCAAGCCCTTGGACGCAAGGCATATCAGGACGCTCGCACCTCGATATCACCAAAGAGACTACAGCGTCTGTAGCTTCTCTCTCACCCTAGGAAGAATCAGTGTCTGTAGCACACTTGATTATTGCTCTCTCTATAGCCGGCCGGCTCAATTGAAGATCAAAGGAACAGCCTTTTCTTCTCTTATACAAGGATAAGGATAACAACGCACGCCACCTTACTCCTCTCTCTCACTCATACCTTGGACGGTATCTCAACTCGTGTCGTACTGTAGGACCAGTAACACAAAGCAATCACTCAAGGAATGGTTCCAACAACTCGAGCTCGAGTTACTGTTGGACGCGCACGATCAGTATCGCTGCCTCCATCTCCTAAGGACATCCCTGTGCCGGAAAGTCCTCTTACTCCCATCGACTCTGAGCATTACGACATGCCTCAATCACGGGAACCTCTTGAACCAACCAATACGGAACCCCTCTTCAACAACGTATCTCAACCTATCTACTCTGCTCAACCACCTCTCCAGGAATACCCTGCACTTCCCACTCACGAACCTCAACCTGGAATGCAAAGGACCATCGAGAAACTATTCAACAACGTCTACGCCAAGTTGGAGCAGTTGGAAAGGAACCGTGTCCAGGACATGAGGGAAGTCAGACTAGAGATGGAAGGACTTAGGAGACAACCTATCGAAGAACGGATGGAGAACCAAGGATGGTCAAGAGACATTCACACTCCACCTAGGATGCCTTACCCTATGGAACACAACTCTGTTCCCCCTCCAATCGACACCAAGCCTCGATTCAGAGATGTATCTCTGGCACCCACCAACAATCTTTATGGTGGCCACATCAAGCTCAAAGCTTCCGACCTTCCCAAATTCAGGGGCAAGGACACCGAGGATATCGACCAATGGATCGACAAAGTTACTGCCATCTTCCAATTCTCTGGCGCCACAGATGCAGAACTCCTCCGTCACCTACCGCTTATCCTTCAGGATAACGCTCTCACCTGGTTCACACAACTAGGATCTCTCAAGAGACTTACTCTAGTCACCTGGCTTGACTGGGTTGATGCACTCAAGAAGGCTTTCCATAGGCCCAATCATGCTGCCAACCTCAGACGTCAATGCCTCTACAGGACACTCAAGGCAAACGAGTCCTGCAGCGACTACTTCCAGGACAAACAGAACCTGCAACACTACGTCTATCCTCCTGGAACACCAGAAAAGGATCTCATTGAGGACATGCTCAGTGGTATACCACAAACTATGCAACCACTCCTCAAGGCCAGTCTCAAGGACAACCACACTCTAGAGGACTTCCGTCGAATCCTCATCGACCTAGAACCAGGTCTCAGGCCACGCCAAACTTATCAATCAGAACCCAAGCGTTCTTCCAACAATGCTGCACCAGCATTCACTCGTCAACCACCTAGAACACCTTGTGTCTGTGGAGGAATGCACTGGCGGACTGACTGCCCCCACAATGGCAAAGTCAACAATACAAAGATTACACCTAGAGCCAACATGGCTAGGACCTTCACTCCTCAAGGTGTCAATGCCACACCTCTCACTCAGCAACGGTGGAAGCCAAACCCAAACCAGACTACTCCCATCACCAACACTGCTTCGCCTGCTGTCCATGTTGTGCAGACTAGGGCTAGCAAACGATTGCACAGTCCTCCTCAAGAAGACAACTCTGTCAAACGCCAGAAGAACGATCAAGTCAACCTGGATATTGACGAGTTGCAAGATCAGTTCAGCAAGCTGGAAGGCTTTGACAACGGACCTAGGATCCAACAGGACGCCTCAAATGGAGTGGACCTCCAGGACTTCATCTCCACGTCACCTCCACCTGCCAATCTGGAAGACCTTCACTTCAACAAGACACCAGCTTTTGCCAAAGCCTGGATCAACAACATCACTGGACTCAAACATGAGATCTGCATCGACTCAGGCTCATCAATGTCTCTCATCAATGAGGCCTATCTCAACAAGCACTTCCCAGATGCAAAGGTCAATCACACCTCTACTTTCCAAATCCGGGGCATTGGATCAAACCACTCCTCTGGATGGGTTGGACTGGACGTCAACTTCCCTACTCAAGAAGGCGGACGCATCCTCATCACCGTACCTTTCTATGTTCTCACTGGTACCATCACCTTCCGGGCTAAATTCTCTAGGACCGCCAAACCCGCTCATCGCTCCGCCAAGTACATTATTGATCACTACTCGAACGGAATGGACAAGTTGCAGGAATACTTGGACAATCACAGGATTAAATCTGACATTGTCCAAAGGCACTTTGAAGTGCACGGGAGGGATGGAGAGGATAAGGAGATCTTTGAACGGTTCTTGTAGATAGGTAGTGCTTCTGATTATTCTACGCTTGGGGACCAAGCTTATTTAGGGGGGGAGGTACTGTAAAGAGACGAAATACAGAATGTACTATTGCCAATAGGGCAAGCCATAAAGCCGCAAGCCACTCGCTCGCACGCTCGCACGCTCGCCGCTTCACCTTGTAATAGTTGCGACAGTCGCTTGCTCGCACGCTCGCAATCCCGCAGCGCCGCACGCTCGCACGCTCGCACGCTCGCTCGCTCGCTCGCAGCCTCACTTGTACCCCTCACTTCCTTCGCTCATGAGTATATATATGAGGAGGGAAGGATGAGAACAAGCTACCACACTTGTCCTCATCTCTTCACTCTTAGATTCACCAAGAAACAATTCGCTACCCTTGCAACAAAGCAAGCTCCGCGTCCTTCTACAAGTGCACTTCAAGATCAACGGATTAGCTACCCATTAACCTTGAAGCGGAAGAGTATACAGATAAGGTGAGCATTAAATACCAACTGGGTGATAACACAACGGGAATAGTCTTTGCAGATCAGCCGAAAGGATCGGGTCGCAACAAGTGGCTAGCCGAGAACGCCGAGAAATATAAGTCCCAACTCGTGCCGGTTGACCAACCGACGTCGGTTGAAGAGGTTGCCAGGATGGATTGGACTGTCAAACGTACCGGGATTCGACCTCCGCCCCGTGCGCACTCCGTAGCCACACCTTCGGCGGCGGGAAGTCCATCCCCCATGAACTTCTTCCCCGATTCTCAGGCATCCACCTCCACTCTCCTGACCACATCTGAATCCTCGACATCCTCTGTCGGCCATGGCACCAAGAGACGCAGAGTCAGAAGCATCAGCCCGGACGACAATACCCAGGGTCAAGCGCAACCCACCGGCACCACGCAACACCGATACACGACCGTCAATCATCGCCCTGCCGTCGCCTCCCCGCTGGCAACCAGCCCTCCCATCGTCCCAGAATCGAGTCAACGTCCTTCTGCGATGGTGATTGGTCAAATTCAAAATCGTCACCACGGCTTGCAGGACCTCACCTCGCATCATCGTCAGAACTCCCTCGACATGGCCGTTCCCGAGTTGGATCCGGAGGTGGCGTCGCTTGCCAGAAACTACCTTGCCGACAACTTCCTTGAACCTTCTTTCGATATGTCCGGGTTCGGGGATGGTAACGGGGCTGGGAACCAGTTTGGTAATGGCGGTCTAGGCCAGTACAACGGCGGCGGTAGTGATCAGCACGGATATAGTCAGGTCGGAACTAGTCGAGATGGTAATGGCGGCGGTGATTGGAACGGATTTAGTCAAGCTTTGCCTGGTGGAAGGGTTGGAGAGAATGATTACAGTCAGGACGAATACATGCAGGACCAATCGCAACACGCTCACTGGGCCCAGCAGCAATATCAAGATCATGACGGCATTTTGGGGTCCTATGGCGACAAAGGGAAATCTCGTCAGCCCGCCAACTTCAATGCCCAGGACTCGCCTTATTACGACAACGACTACGCACATTAACGACTGCATCGATTCCCCTAATTCCGGTCTTCCTCGTTGTATTTATTATCCATCACGAAACGACGGCGTCACACGCTGCGAATGTCGAGCAAGAGCTCAGCTCTGGTATTATGAAATGGTCAATTTCGAATCCCGTGACTTGTGATCAGTTGGATCAGTTGTCGTCATCCTGATCTTCGTCGTCTAGAACTTGTTGAAGGTCCTCGGCGTTGTCGGTCTCCAGCCAAAATTCAGGCTCGGGGCCGTCTCGGTCGCATGACATCGAGACTATACAAGCGCCGTCCTGTTGAGTATCGATCCTGCTTACTATTGTAGCAGCTTCCAGCTCTTCTAGTGCTATAAAACACTTCGGCAGCAGCTCTTCACGATATATTCGGATTCCCAAATCGATTTGGCGACTCGCCCATGGATAGTCTCCCTCGGCAGCACGATAGAACTGTACCAGAGCGAGTGTACGCTTGAGATGGACATCCTTCAAGTCGACCTGAAGGATAAGGTGGATCTTGACGAGGTGTCGAGCCACGCCTCCCACGCTGGCCAGTGCGAAAGCGTCCCTGCGACTCCGTGACCATAGCAAGGAACAGAACTTGTAGCCGTTGTACACGGCGTGGGTGTAGAGGGAGTAGGCCGAACTGCGCACGGGGAGAACGACCCCTTCGTCCGTGTCCCAAAACGCCTCGTCTTTCAGGTTGAGTTCGGGATGGTTAAGCGCCATGAACTCCAACAATGCTCGATAGCTACCGGGGTGTTGAGCCAGGCTTACGACCAGCCCTTTTTGGTAGGCTACCGGCAAACGAATTGTGCGATTAGCTGCGACGCCGCGCGCTTCGTTTAGCATGAGCGTTCCACGCGCCAGCTCGTTATTGTTGGTCCAGGTTGCGAGCCCGGCTCGCTCTATCTCTGACGCATCGGGAGGCGGGGTATGAATGATGGTCGCCAGCCCTGCTTCTAGTTCCCACGAACGCAACAGGGTCGATGGTACATCCCGTTCCTGACCGTTATGTTTAACACGGCTTAGGGCGCCGTTATTACGTTCGAAAGCCCATGTGGCGAATCCTGATAGTGGTCCGAAGCGTCTGACCGCATCGACATAGTGCATAGCGATGTGCCAGTTGATGGTAAGGGTCTCCCCCATCGCGAGGATGGCTGTCGAGGCCCCAGCCAGATCGTCTACAGCGCTCATCGCTTCCCGGATGCTTATAGTATGCGAATGCAGGGTGCTGAGGGCGCTGCAGATCATGATCGCGACCCGATACCATTCGCGGCTGTTGCGTCGGACGTCGGACTGCCTTTTCCTCTTGCGTGCCCTGCCGTTTGGTAGCGGAGTCGGTTCCCGGGCCTGAAAGTCGATAGGTTCTTGATCTACATCGTCGATCTGGTCGTTTTCGGGGTCCCGAAGTGCCACGAATAGCGCGATAGGCAGTACTTGGATGATACGCTTCCACTGGTCGGCCTTCAATCCACTCCCGGCGAGCCTCCTGTCGGATGCGAACTGCTTGGTGATTCGGGAAGGGAGTCTTCCGAGATGGCCGGGGTAGCAAGCTTTCTCGAAAACGGCCATGAATACCTGTCTGTCCTCCTCTTCAGAAAAGATGTCGTGCTTGAATAACATATTCACGAAGGCCTTTGCTATGCCGAGAAAGGAATTATGGAGGGGGTCGACCGGACTGGAGCCCGCATGCTCCATACCTTGCAACCTCAACAGAGGGCTGAACCGCACACCGTATTCCTCTTCAATAGCTGCTTTCCTTTCGGGGGTGGCTCGTTCATACTCGAAAGCGCGCTTTAGAAGGGTGGACGGTTCGAAAGATTCCAGATTTCTCCAGTCGTAGGCCTTTGGAGTGTTTATTTCGGCTTTCGTAATACGACACTGATGGCAGGGGTGTTTCTTGTGAGAATGTGCTACTACCCCTACCAACTTCTTGGCGGCGAGGAGGTCGGACGCACACAGCAGAACGCGGGTAGTGTAGACGAGGGCGGCACCTGTGGTATTGAGCTTGACCTCGACTCCACGTTCGCATTGTTGCAAATCCTCAACGATCGGGTTTAGGACCTTCGCGAAGCACTCTGGACCCGGCTCTTTGGGACCGGGGATGATGCAGAGCAAAGCCGTGTTTTTGCGTTTGAAAGCGATGTCGCGAGGCAAATTTGCGATAGTGGCATAGATGGCCCCTACCGAAGAACCTATCAGGCCCTTGACGGCGAACCTGACGACCACAAGAGGCGAGAGGTTAGCATACCCACATCGGCGGTCGAGATTGCAGCATACCAGTAAGACTCACCAATCGCAATTCAGGATGATTAGCAACCCGCCAAGCTTGCCCACGAACCGTTGACTGGTCTGTCCTGGAAGCAACTCCGATGTCACTTCAAAGTCGGGCCAGAGGACTCGCTCCTCGCCTGTTCGTATGGATCTCCAGGCCGAGCCATGCGAAAGCCCCTCTAGCGGGGTATCGATATCGTAAGCTGGGTCGAGGACAGATGGGATGGGTAGACCCCATTGAGGGCCTCGGTCTTCGTCGTTCGTACGCCAGTCGTGCAAACGATGTCTGACGCTCTCGTCTTGCAATAACCTCCGCAAAAAGGTGGATAGCTTGGAATACGGCATGATCTTGTAGGGGACGCGGACGTGGTTGATGCTCCGATAAATCGGAGTACCACAGTCCTCGCAGAGTGGTGATTCGATGGTGTAAAGGTCCTTGTATTTGTACATCGCCCAACAAGAGGTCTTGGGGCAGACGATATAACGTTGGATGTGCTCGTCAGGATCGATCCCGAGGCGTCTCAGCGCGGTCTTGACCTTGTTTGTACGGTTATCCAAGACTTCACCGCGTTCTAGCTCGACAGCCGTCGTCATCGCATCGAGCTGAGCGTTGGCAACGGCGACACTCATGCCGACGGCCTTGCCGTACGCGATGGACGTGTAAAGTTGACGCAAGGAGGGGGGAAGGTTGTGGTGCGGAAAGCCTGGAGCGCGTCGGTCGAACAGGATGTTGTATGGATTCGGCCGGTCGTCAGGATCGTCGTCAGAATCGTATCCATAGGAGTTCTCCCTGCCATCGTGGTCGTCGTCTTGATCGTCGAAGTTGTCTGGGTCGTAATCCTCCAGATCAGAGTCCCGACCCGACCACTCATCCGCGATCTCGTCTCCGGCCTCTAGCAGCACAGGACCATCCTCTTCAAACGAGGGAAAGTCTCCGAGAGAGTTCTCAGCGACATAGTCCATGACAGAATCAGAGCCATCCTCGAAGCCAGGATTGTCTTCGTAGTCGCTGTATAGGGTGGGTTCCGGAGTGGGACTACGATTGTTGGCGGCTTGCACAGTCAGAGGCATTCGAGGCACGTTGGCACCAGCATTGGCTTTGCGCAGAGGATTGTGACGTGTGTAGGTGGCATTGGAGACTGATTGGTAGCCCAGGGGGAACTTTGCGCAACGATCACAGTAACATACTCTCTGCCGGTTGTGGGTAGGGGTCAGCCAGGAGGCCAGATCTTTCCCTACATCGAGGCCGCTCTCACCTGTCGTGCCTGTCGGGCTTGACTCCGATCACCAACAGCCATATCTTTCCGTGTCCTGGGTTTCAGAGAGCGGGTGGTATATCTGCCGGATGTGCTTGTTTTGCTGTACGTCGGACCACAGGGACGTGGTTGCAGGCTCGTTCGATTTCGATTTGACGGCTCATCGAGAGCGATACGGCTCCGATCGATGGGTTTTCAGCTAGACTTTGGCGGTCAAGAACAGCAAGAAGTTTGCTGTAATCATTTCCAGGTAGCAGCGGTACTGATATAGTATAGGTCGATGGTCTGGAAGGCATGAAAGGGATAGGCGATGTCATAACAAAACAACATCGATGCAACAATGTTCATTGAACTTCGACGAATCCCCAACGCGTCGCGGTTCGATACGTCGCGTCATTTAGCTAAATTGCCAACAATCAGGCCCACGGACTGATACGATGTATTGATGTCCGCGTGTACGGCATAGCGCGCATCGCTTTGGTCCCGATATGGCATATTATACGAGGTCACGTGATGACGGAAATATACGGCCTTCGTATCGCCCTCATACCGTCTGTTCATATCAAGCCTGACGATATGAGGACCATATGAGCATATTAGACCTCATATATCCTGCCGATATGTCCTGGTGTTACACAGTGACAGTCAAGGTGTTAGATCGATTGAGATGAAAGGGTTCGTTCCACCAGTAGTGTCGCAGCAACACACAGAAGCAAGGGACGGGTTTGGCTGCGGAAACAGGCGACCTGGATTCGTCACAATCGGGGGAACAGGGCAATATTCGACGGATTCGCTAATTTTAGATATGGAATGCCGTAAATGCCGCGTATTCTTAGCTGAGAAATAGCGGCAAAGAACAATCCAAGGCTGATTACCTAAGTCCGGCTTCACCGATCTTTTGCCTCGCACAGCGGGTCACGCGTCACGGTTAAGGGTCCGATAAGGAGGTCTCTTAACTGGCCGGTTAAGAAATCTCTTAACGTACCCCTTCGCCGACCCCCTTAAATGGCGCTAGCCAGCCCTTTATACGCGTACGTACGCGCGCTTCTTTTTGGCTCACGCGTTTGACGCGTCATCTTAAGCGCGTCGAGCCCCACATAAGCAACAATCGACTCGAGAAGCTAAAATACTTACTACAATACTAAGTAATAAGTAAAACACGCCTATAGACATCTCTAGTCCCCCCTACCTCTCCTAATCCTGTGTACGACCTAACGACCCCCTTACGAACCCCTCACGACCCCGTTTTCACTCCAACAACCGTCCGTTTACGCCCAAAACTCACCAAGAACCTCGAAGAAGCCTAAAAATCACCAAGAAGCTAAAAAACAAGTATAAGCCCACGTCAAACGATGTCTGCTGTATGTACCCCTTACCTTGCATCTATCCAGTCGCTTTAGACTCTGACTGATGTCCTCGGGGTGGTCTCATGTCGGTCAGAATGATGGAACCCGTCAGTACCTTAACAAACACTTATACCACCCGTATCGACTCACATTAACAACCACGTTTGCCCTCATCATGTTCATCTAGAAGAGAACGGTGCTGCAGGTAAGTAAAAAGCTACCCGAAACTGTCTCTTGGCCAGGTCGCTTACGGTCAGCTATTGCTCCGATAGGTGGTGGTGCTCCCAACACGGGTGTCATTCGTGTTGAGAAGGGGAAGCAGCCGGGTCAGTTCAGAACCATATCACGCTCTCTAACTAACCCATATCGTTCCCTTAGCTGACCGTATATCCTGCCGCTACCTGTCTACAGTCCGACCTACAGGTGAAGAGCTTGAAGAAGAGGGCATCGATCCCAACCTCGACAACCCCACCGTCGAGGTGGATGAGTTAACCGACTCCGATGCGACTACAAACCCGGGCGATAGTAGTGACATATCCGCCGACGAGCTATTAACTGTCGAACAGGTAAGCCCATAGGCCGGTCTTATAGCACTCTTATCTGGTGGCTTACTCCCCCGTTCGGTGTCGTATAGGCTGACGCAAAGAGGCTAGCGAAGAAGAAAGCCAAGGCCGAACGAAAGGCAGCCAGACTAGCGATAAAGGCGGTTCAGCAAAACGTATGTTCCTACCTATCTCCTATCACACGCTTAACCACTCTGATAAGACTGTGGCATCTTCACGCTTGGTTTAGAATTTGAAGCGCAAGGCAACCACCGACGATCTTCGGGCAGCCAACTTCAAAGTCGTATGTCAGCTTAGGGGTTAACAATGGCTTATATGACTGCTAACTCACCCTCTCACTGTCGCCTCTCTCTCAGCCGCGAACCGACACTGTAAGCAGATTCCTTCGGTGAAGGAAATTAGATGGGTACTAACTACCTCTTAACGTGCTCCATAACCTCAGGATATGGGTCGGTTTCCCCACATCACCGGTTCGACTGTCACCCCTAAGGACATCGTCCAAAGTCTCCAAGCCCAAATCAGGCTGTTTGAGGCCCGTTACGCGGCGGTTATTGAGCGTCGAGACAAGGTCGTACCTGTCGGCCCCACTCCCAACACCCAGAAGCTATCGTCGGTCGTCCATTCCCTCGAAGGTGTCCTAGACGAATTGGTGGCCTTATCGGGGGAGTTAGTGGCCGGTTTTAGGTCGGTTAAGGTTCTTTCGATGCTGCAGCAGGTCCAGTCGAGAGGTCGACTTCTAGACAGGGAGGAGTTTGAGACGAAGATCAACGATATCGAGGCTCAACTCCACAATCACGTCGACGACACTGGACGCCGCTTACGCGCCCTCAACCAAGGGTCCGATAACCCTGCGTTAGGGTCCACCGCCAATGCCAATCCGACCTCTAGCGGACCTCAAACTCCCTCGTCAAGAGGCATCAATCTGTCCGGTTTGAAGTCCGCCCTCAAGACCGATGCCGAGCTGCGTGCGATTGTGCTTGGGATCTTCAACGACCCCACGAACTTGAACAACAGCGGCCCTGTAGCCGGCCCTTCGGGGACCTCTAACCAGTCGGCTAATCCCCCGGCTCCCACTCACTCGTCCCACGTCTCCCCAGACAAGCGATCGCGCACCCGTACCAACACCAAGTGGTCGGTGAGTATAGCGTAGCCTTATCTACCGCTTATCTGGTCCGCTAACACTTGCCTTATCCACCGCTTATCTGGTCCGCTAACACCTTGTCAACAGTACGCTTGCCATTATGCTGTCAAGGAACTAATCGGGATGAGAGGTACCTGGGACGGTGATTCTATCAGCGAGCCAGGTTATCTCCCGGATGGAGAATGGCCCTCGCACGAGGAAGACGACGAGGACACTGGCTTACCGGGCCCTCAACAGATCGATGTCGAACTGGCTATGGGTGGGACAAGGAGCGTTTGGAGGCCTGAGTGGAAGAAGATCGGAGAAGAACGGTCAGCAGCACATCACTTATCATGCCTTTATCCTACCACTAACCATCGAGATAAACGTTCGATCAGGTGGTCTCCCTTTGTCAACGAGGTCGCCGCTCGCGTCGTCAACACCTGGAAGATGACCAACGGGGACAGGCCCACGGTAAATGACCTTAAACCGCTCATTATCAAGTACTGCAAGAACCGGTCTGGCGTCCGTCCCACGAGTGCTGAAGAAGGAGGCGTCCATCTCGCGCGTCTGGTGAATCGCAAGCGAGGTCATGTGAGTCCTTTAACAGACACGATAGACGTGAGTTTAGGGTCGGTTATCATGCAGGCTTACCGTCGTTCTTGTTGTCTCTCTCCGTTACTTCCTCACAGATATCCGATGACAGGTACAAGATCTGGCCTCAGTCCCCTCCCAACCTGTGTCGAAAGGCCCCAGTTTACGCTCTGTTAAGGGCACCGCTGTTCTCGCCGACGTTGTGGCAGTGTGTCACCGAGTGACGATCGGAACCGGAACGTCGGCTCAGCATAACCTCGGACTTATCCCGACGCGCTACGGAACGCGCCTTTATTTGGCCTTTCCGCCCGATTAAGCCCAAGACGCGCTCTCGACCGGTCGAACACACCGCCGCAACGTAGTTTAGAGGAGGGCGATCTATTGTAGAGTAGAATGAGGAGCTTAGAACCGAATTGGGTTCTAAGCGACGATATCGAAGTTCATCATACCGTTACCTTCTGTATCGTGGACTAAGTCACAACGAAACGGCCGCTATAGTACCAAACGCCCCGAACCGCCCAACAACCCCCGCGTCGACGTATTCTAGCCTCCCCGTGACAGTATATCGTCGCTTCAAAATGTCTGCCCAGCGATCCACTTCTGCTCAACCCTTTGGTAGAACGAGGCTTCCCCGCAACGGAAAAGCCACGGTTCCGCCCGAGACGGTAGAGGAGGATGACTCCGCTAGACAAGAACAAGACGAAGACGAACAAGGTCCGGCGAAGAATAGCGCCGGAGAAATTACGAACGCCGGCGAGGACGCCGAGGAACAGAACGACCGAGAAGGGTTAGATGACCAACTCGATGGAACAAGGGAACCGGATGACGAAGAGCAGAACCGAGTTTGACGGAAAGGTTGTTTGAGGAACTCGAACTCCTCAAAATGAAGAACCAAAAGTTGGAATTGGAGATGAACGCGATGAGGGAAAGGGCGGTCGAGAGGCCAACGAGGAAAGGAACGTCGGGAGAAGAGGGCAAAGTGTCCGAACGCCGATCTGTTCGGGCACGGGTCCAGGCGGAAAGGTACGGAACCGCCCTGTCCGACAGCGAAGGAGATTACATGGATCCCGAAGACGTCTGGGAGGGCGTCGACCCGTACGCCAGACTGAACGAAGTTTCGAGTTCCGTTCGGGCCGCTGTCATGCAGGACAGGGCCAAAGCGTACGAAAAGGCCTCGGGTAGGGACCCCCGAGCCCCAGAACCGAACACATTTCACGGGAAAAGCAAGCAACTGCCTTCTTTCCTCGTACAATGCGACACGTTTGTAACTTTGCAACCGAATACGTATCGGTCCGAGTTTCAAAGGGTACTGGCCGTTATTTCTCGGTTCCGAGATGACGCCGGGGTATGGATTACGCCTTATATGGACTTAAGCGCCCGTGATAAGCCCCTTATGTTCCAGAATTATCAACTATTCAAGAAGGCTATGAGAGATCAGTGGCCGATGGACGATGAAAAGGAGAACGCTAGGCGGGTTCTTCAGGAAATGAAGCAGACTAGTACCGCTCAAGAGTACTTGGCCCGTTTCGCCCTACAGGCCCTGTATAGCGGGTACGATGACGACTCTCTGATCAGCCTTGCTGAAGGGGGTTTGGAACATTCCCTACTGATCAGACTCAAAAACGACCTAGACGCCCCGGAGAACTTCGACAAATGGAGGCAATGGGTCGTTCGTATCGAGAACCGTCAACGCATCACGGAAGCTCAAATCGCTCGATCCCGTTACCGTCCCAGTTCGGGACCTTTGTCGGCTTTTACGCCCAGAACCGCCGTGGCGGTCCCCGCTTCGATTCCTCAAACGGCCTATGTGCCCCGACGACCTTACATGTCACCGGAAGAAAGGGAAAGAAATGCGAGAAGGGAACTGTTTCTCGTGTGGGGAAAAGGGACATATCGTTAGCGCGTGTCCGAAAAGAGGCGGAAAGGCCCAAGATCTGGCGACGGGGGCCAACGCTATGGAAGTCAAGGCCCGAGCCGCCTACGTGGAGGACTGTTCGAGCGATTCGGAAAAAGATTGAGCGAGGCGATTGGTCAGGAATCGTCTCGTGTGGAACAAAAGAAAATGACTGACACGCTTAGGAAAAGGTTTCGGATTTACATGGAGGGAAGTCATACGAGCTACTTCAGGGCGGAATTGGACGGTTTCGCCGGGAAATGGAAGTTCTTCCTGGACGATGGGACTTCTCAGAGCGCGATCGACCGACATTGCCCCTTACTTGAGGGTTTAGTACCGATTGCCTATGAGAGGAAGAAACGTCTGAGGAGGATTGACGGAACGATCGCAGCAGACGCGATCACGCACTTTGTCAAAATTCGGCTGCGAAAGAAGGATTTTGGACCGATCGAGATCGAACTGGCCATCATGGACCTCGATACGGGCGGAATAGTCCTCGGTTTGGACTTTAACGTCCGTTTCCGGGCCATTGTCGACTTTAGCGACATGTCTATCGAGATTCAAGACGACCGTTTGACGACGGAAGGGATCGAAGTGAAGGGAAGACGGAGCACGCTCGTAGATGGCAATGGATTGGAAAAGGGAGATCCGGTCTTTAATGCCCTGAAACTGGCGGAAGACCCCGACGAGGAAGAGGAAGAGGTCGAAGAGAGCGAGCTACGTAGCCTTGTACCGTCGGAATTTCATGGTAGTCTGGACTTATTCAAGCGTGCCAGTTACGAGTCATTACCCGAAAACAGGGATTTCGATCACGCGGTCGAGCTTAAAAGCCCTGAATTGTTACGAAAGGCCCGAGTCTACCCACTTTCGCATGCTCAAGATCAATGGCTGAAGGACTGGATCGACAAGAACAAACGGATAGGTCATATCGAAGAGTCAAAACTGGTTCGGAAGCCCTGTGTTTCTGGTTCCAAAGAAAAACGGAGTTCCGGATGGTGACGGATTTCCGGGAATTGAACAAGCAAACGGTGAAAGATATATACCCCTTGCCCCGGATCAGTACTCTACTCGAACGGATTAGGACGGCTACGATTTTCAGCAAGTTCGATATGCCCACTTCGTACCAATTGCTACGAATGCGCCCGGGGGATGAAAAATGGACGACTATTTTGACACGGTATGGGGCGTTTCAGTCCAAAGTCATGCGGGAAGGGATGTCGAATGCAGGCGCCAGCTTTCAACGGTTCATGAATGTGACTTTCGAAGACCTGATTGACGACGGAGTTATCGTCTACATAGACGACATTTTAGTGTACAGCAAGACCAGAGAAGAACATATCGTTACCATCAACAAGGTTTTTGATCGACTACGACGGGCAAAACTTTACCTGAAGCCGTCGAAGTGTGAGTTCTTCAAGGATGCGGTGGAGTTTTTGGGCTTTATAGTCCGAAAAGGTGTCGTGGAAATGGAGAAGGGCAAGTTGGAGTCGGTAAAACGTTGGCCGGCTCCTCGCTCCGTCAAAGAAATACAACAGTTCTTAGGTTTTGCGAACTTTTATCGACGGTTCATACGGGATTTTGCAAGCAAGGCCCAACCTTTGACAACTTTGACAAGGAGTACGGTACCATGGGTATGGACCGAGAAGGAGGATTTGGCTTTCAAACAGCTCGTCACGAGCTTCACAGAGGCACCGGTATTGCGTCAATTTGACCCATCGCTGCCGATTACCATAGAAACAGACGCGTCGGCGTACGCGGTAGCCGCGGTTGCGAGCCAGAGATTCCCAAGCGGACGGTTCAGCCATTTTACGTCCGACTGGATTTTTCTCGAGGAGACTGAAGCCGGCCGAGATGAATTACAACGTCCACGACAAGGAGTTATTGGCCGTGCTGTTAGCTTTTCGACACTGGAAACCTAACCTATTGGAAAACCAATATCCTGTGGAAGTCATTACCGACCATCGAAATCTGGAATATTTCCGTGAAAAGAGGGAGCTGAACAACAGGCAAAAACGATGGCAGGAAGAGCTAGCCGACTTCAATTTCAATCTTCGCTACCGACCGGGGCGGAAAGGTACAAAACCGGACGCACTGACAAGGCGCCCCGACTACCACCCTGGACGTAACAAAGCGGAAAGGGCCATAGAAGCCAAGAACAACGAGTCGGTTTTGCTGGAAGACAGGCTGTTCGTGGAAGGACGGGCCGCTATCGTTGAGGAAGTGGACGAAGGCGAAGGAAACAGCTGGAGCGAGGAAGTACTCGCGGGTTACGAGTTGGGTACGTTACCGAATGGTATGAGAGAAAAGGTTTTCGCTTTGATTCCTTTCGGTGAATCGGAGGTCGGTGCACCTCTCACGTTCAAATGGACTCGCGGAGGGTACTTGTGGTGGAAGGATAGATTGGTAATCCCGCAATACGGGGCGCTTTGGTCCAAAACCGTCGGCAGTCGGCACGATGCGATGCCTTTTGGTCATCCGGGCAGGGACAAGACGCTCGAATTAGTGCAGAGGGATTACTACTGGCCGAATCAGTACGAAACGGTGAAAGAGTACGTAAGAACCTGCACAGAATGCCAGCGGAACAAGGGCAAGAAGCACAAGCCTTACGGCGAGTTGAAGCAGTTGGTCGTAGCAAAGAGGCCTTGGAGCGAAATCTCCATGGATTTCGTGGAACAGCTACCGAGATGTGGGGAGTACGAGAACATTCTCGTAATCGTAGACCGATTCACCAAGGAAGCTCGCTTTATACCGACTCGACGAACAATGACGGCGCGGGAATTGGCGGAAACGCTACTATCCGTAGTGTTTTCGAAAAAAGGGTTCCCAGATGCGATCACTTCCGATCGTGGTTCTTTATTCGTAAGCGCCTTCTTGAAGGAGATGTGGCGACTGATGAAAGTGGAAAGACGGGTTAGCACCCCGTATCACCCCCAGACAGACGGGCAAACGGAGAGAGTTAACCAATCGTTGGAAGGCTATTTGCGGACTTATTGCGGATGGGATCAGGACGATTGGGTGGGTTTATTACCTATGGCTGAGTTCACATACAACAACTCGGTGCATTCGGCGACTCGCACAACTCCGTTCTTTGCGAATCATGGCTATCATCCTCGATTCGACGTCGAAGGGGAACTTTTCAGTACCGAATCGCCCACAGCCGGAGTTATGGTCAAGGACTTCGACAGGATGTGGAGGGAGACTCAGTACTGGATAGCGGTCGCCAATCAGCGGACAGCGTCGTATGACGAGGGGCGGAAAAGCCAGGAACCGTTGATAAAAGTAGGCGATCGAGTGCTATTAGACAGCGAAGTGGTGAAGAGGTATCGCCCT